CTGCCAAAGCATCTCGCATGGTCCCGTGGCACAGCTTGGTGTCGGCCAGTCACGCGGGTGAGGAGGACTTGGAGCCGGATGCAGTGCCGGAGGCAGTGCCAGAGGCCGATGGGTATGGCTTTGTGCTCATGGGATGGGGGTTGTTAAGCTTCAAACATGGAGGTTTTGGCAGAACAAAACTGGTGGTATAATGTGGGATGTAATGGAGGCATCATGGGAAAATAGCGGGGTGAATTTGTTGGAACTATAACGACCATAGATGATGATTAGCATGGGTAACTATCGCGAAGTGTGCTTGTTTGAGGGTGATGAATCATTTGATACTCAGCTGTGGGGCATTGGGTCATTGAAAAAGGAACAGAGATATCAATGGATCCTCAAGTTTTTGTATGAGGGAACCCTACCATCTATTCAATTATGTGATCCATTTAATAATCTGGTATTTCACTGGTAGTTGCCCCCAAAAAGATGATAGAAAAGTCAGCATCTACCAAAGTAGTGACAATTGTCATTTTCTATCTTTCTGGGGGTTGCTATAAGATATGTCAAAAACCCATTCACTTACGCTTAAATTACCCCCAAAACAATGCCACATCCCTAGGTAGATTTCAACCTCTTTCATGATTTGCTGTGGCATCGTCGCGTTTGTCGCAGCTGGGAAGCGGAATCTGGTCGGTGCTGGCACTACCTGTTTTGGCCTTGTTGCTTGGCTGAGGCGTTTTGAACGGAGGATTATCAGGGGTTTACAGTAGTTCTAATGAGACTTCATAGGGATTTAATGGGACTCAATTGGGATTTACAGGGTTGAATTCTGATTAAATAGTTTTTAGTGTGATTTAAACCACATTTAACGGGATTTAACGGCCATATAAGGGAAGTTTATGATAAGATGTAATTCCATTCAACGAAAGTGAAACACCCGCAAATTTAGGACAATAGCATGGGGACCGAAGCTTCCGCCAGATCCAGTGAGGATTTTCCATCCACAGGTTACATGCGGACATGCGTGGCATCAATAAAACGAACCACGGAGGAATTTTTGAGGATGCAAGGGGGGTTCTTGACCCAGAAACAGCGGTGGATTTCAGCAACGAAACGCTGGCAGTGGGAGCTTATGACACTTGTGCTTGCAGGCCCTTTGCGAATTGTGATTATGTTTGATTCAACATGCCAAGCTGTTTTCTGGATATCAATCTGACTGGTGTTTTGATTCACTTGTCATGGAATGATTTGCTAGCTGCATTTTTAGCCAGTAAGTGGATCATATACCATTAAGCGAACAACAAACATACCAAAACAACCCAACAGAACGATTTCCGTCACGAAACCACCGTTTTTTTAACCTTAAAAACACCAGCACAACTGCCCCCGCCCAGCCGTCCCACCATGTTTTCACCTTCTCGCGGACGTCAGGATGGTCTTCTGCTTTGGTGGCATCTCCACAGCCTACAAGCGATGAGCTATGCTTCTGTGCTCGCATTTAATGGGTCGAGTTTCGCATGGTTTGTTGATGTTGTTACAGATCTTTTAATATAGGAAGAAATGGAGGACAGAGTCTTGCCAATATTATTTTGCATGGTCCGTGTGCTTATTTTTCATTTTCGATAGAGGAAACAGTTAAGTGTAGAGTTTAGCCACCTTTCAATGCGAGTTGTATCACCCATATGGATCCAAATGGTCCTAAATGTTGACAACAGGTCATACCTGAACACTCCTGGATGGTATTGGGGTATGGTTCATTTTGGGGACGACAGAATTGGATGCTTTACTCGGACGAACCACTTCAACTTGAAGGTCGTATTATAGGTCTTAATGTTTGACCCGTTCCAGTCCTACTTGTATTTTTTTTGCCTTGTGCAATGCGAGATGTCAAGGAGGTTGTACTTATTTTCCGACTTCCACAATTCTTGGACCAACTTGATTGTCGAGACTTGTAAGCTTGGCATTGTTGCTACCAGGGCAGCAGCTCGATGCCCCAGCCCACTATCATGCTGTGTACAAACAAATTGACTGCAAATGAGTTTCACTATCCTTATAGACTATGTAGAACATGTAGGTATACAGATACAATATACACATCACATTATATTTATATAAGTTTTTATATATGTATTACATGATTGTACATGTGTAATATCTGTTTTATAGTGTGTACTAGTTTCCATGCACATATAGGTAGATATAGATAGACAGGAATTGGATTGGGTTAGAGTAGCAAAGACAAGACAATTTAGATAGATATGTGTTGGCATGTATTGACACATCCATATAAAATCACTATATTTAGATAGTGCAGATGTGTATCAACTCTTCGGCCGTGGCTCTCCCAGCCATTGAACCGATGCAACCCAGGCATGTTCGCGAGGTGAATTGGCAGATCTCCAATTGGCCAGCTCGCTGCTGAGCATCGACTTCAGCCCCTGGCAGCAGAAATATGCGGTGCAGATGGACAGCCCTTGGGCCTTTGGGAAACCTGGAAACAGTGGTGGCACATGCTGAGCAAATGCTTACCCTGGGGTCAACTAACGTAGATGTGGAAAACTCCCGCTTTCCGAGGAAAATGGTCTACAAATGGTGGGACATCCACAGCTATGTTAGTTTGGAGGAGGGCAACATTGAAAATTCAAGGCTAGAAAGTTTGACGTATGTTGCCACCATGTTGCCCCCCAGTGGATTGAAGACTGCCTTTGCCTCTAGTTGTTGGTATGTTTTTCTGGGGTCCAGTGTCTACTTCATTTATTTGATGTAAGTTATTGCTTATTACTCAATCATTGCTTGGAATCAACTCTCAGTTTCATACCTGTTCATGAGATTTTTCAATATACCTGAGCCTCCAAGCATCCATTGGGTTTGTTCCCCCAATCTTTTTGGTACATTGTAGCCATTTCTACGGGTTGAGGGTCTAGGAGTCTAGGTCAAACTCGTTGCAGGACGTCTCCTTCAAACAGGCCATCCTGGTGGCCCTGCGGACGCTCCCTCCACCCGTGGGATCAGCTTCACCCAGCCAGGCGCTACGGCAGCAGGAGCCGAGGCAGTGGAGGACGACAAGGGCGCGGTGATCGCGGAGATTCTCAAGGCGACGGTGGTGGTGATGTGGGGGGCTGTTCGTGGTTGGAAATGAGTGGACCAAAAATGATTCTGAAAGCTCCGTAGAAAACAGGATTGTTAAGTAGAGGTACTGACAGCGACATGAGCATGGCGTGGGTTCATTGGAGTTGTTTTTGTTGTTCTGCTACCGAGGAGTGGACATAGACACGGTCTCAGGGCATAGACTGAACAATCTTTGGACACATTCCAAATCTGTTTGTTCCATCATCAGTGGGTGGGAGGGCGTCGACTTCTCACATCTCGCTTCTTTACAAAAGTTAGATCATGTCCTCCTTCAAGAAGTCTTTGTTTTTAACACATCAACATTTTTTAAAATATATAGGATCCAGAGATATCTAGAGTAAAACCCAATGGATTCCTACAAAATCCATATATTTTCCATTTCCTAGGTTTTTCCCAATTTTCTCCCCAACATCTCCCATAGCTTCGCCACGTCGTCGTGCCCATGCGCTGAGGCAACGGATCCCGCGTGTGGCCAGGGCCTGCGGCTGTCGCTGCCGGCCACGGAGCAGTTCATCCGCTTCTCGCCCTCGCCGCTTGGCGCTGGGAAGTTGAGGGTTGGAACCCTGCTGGGATCATGCTGAATCTTAATCGAGAAATTACTGCAATATGTAAATACACATCAATACATTTCATCAATGTGTTCCAATTAATTTCCAAACCATTACATGAACCGAATCGAAAAGTCAGCCGTTTATTTCAAGCTTCGCCAGGAAGACGCTTCCAGCGCGGCTAAGCCTCTCGGGAAAAAGGTTTCAAGAGAGTTTTGGCCTGGTCAGTCCTGCCATGGAGTACCATCTGTTTCGGGTGCATCTGCCGCTGATATCATGGGGATGTTGATAAGTAAGGGATGTAAAATTAAAAGCAGTTCGACACTTTTTTTTGTTGATAAATAAGTGGTGTCAAAAACACAGGTATGTGTTTGATTTGTTTAGCTGGTTTCTGGCCTATGGGTTTGCAATTGCAAAGGCGGCCACGACCAAACTTGGCCTGCAGTCTTTTCTGACTTCTGACAGCTTCTGACCAGAAATTGCGTTCTATGCACATTTGACAAGCAATCAGTTCTTGGCTTGTGGTTGGGCTGGCCTGAAGTGCCTTGGTCTCTTGTCCACTGTGCGACTATGTGAGATTTGTATTTGTTTCTCAGTAACTATCACCTTCCAGCGTTCGCCTTCACAATCAAGCCTTGGGTGAAATCCATTCAACAAAACATCCATCGCCATCAACCAAGGCTTACCAGCGGGACTGATGGACTTCAACTTCAGCAGCACGTTGGACGATTTCTTCCTGGGTCTTCCGGTGTCGGCCTCTTCAATGGTTGCAACTCGGAGCCATTTGCACCCTTGGTTTATCTCATGTATCATTGATAACGGGATATACTAGGGATTTTACCATTGGATCAGTGAAAACTATTGGGATATACGAGGGATTTACCAATTTTCCATGGATAAATGCGAACCATACAAGAAATTGAAGTGGGTCCAAGCATTCACTAGGGGTACATTCCCAATGACATCCCAGAAATGTGCTGCAAGTTTACGAGCCCCAACTGCAGGTGTGTGGCATTCGCTTTGATGGAAAGTGGGTCGGGCATCATGGGTATACCGTACTACCAAAATTTTCTGGGCACAGTTGCAAAAAGCTGATATCTGTTAAAATTGGACTTTCGCAATTCATAGGAGCAACATCGAACATGGACCTGGGTATGGCATCATATGGCGCCCATCTGGGGATTTAGCATGAGGGTACCAGCCATATGTGGCGATAGAAACCCCGAGGACCGCAAGCTCTGGACCGTCTTCGAGCCCTTGGCGGAAGCCAACGAGGCATCCTGCGCCAAGAGTTGCGAGGAGAACTTGGATTGCTTGACCTCCTTTCCAGGATATCATGGATGCTTCTCGGCTGCATGTTTGGACATGTTTGATATGTGATAAATTATTTGCATTTAAGTTTGGATGGTGCAAAAGTCACCATTTTTGTGGTGAAGAGATAGCCTGCGGAAAACCATCATGGTAGCCCGAAAATCCAGGCTTTCAACCGTACATTTTCCCATCTCATCCAAGTTGTCATTAGTAAATCCTTGTATATTTTGTTGGTGCCCTTCGAAAAGTCCCAACTGGCCCCATGTCCAGCAGCTGGGGTTGGTTCACCCATTCATAACTGGGAAATCCACTGATTGGGGACCTACGAACTACTAACCAGGGTAATTCATTAGTTGCGTCAAGTGGGATGATTTTTGAAATAGTAGTTCTTTCAACTACCCCTGGGACCCAGCCGTTGTACCCAGGTTTTGAAGCTTACAACAACTTCAGCCACCACGAAGCAACTGCTGCCTCCAGTGGTATGGCCTTGGCGGCCGAGAATCGCACGCGGCCGGGGCAGCTGGCAGGGTGCAGGTGCGACGTTGTCGCCGAAGGGCGGGGATGATGGGATAAGGAGTTTTATAGGAACCCCAAGGAGGTAGAAACAGTAGAAACGCAATTTATCACTATTTTAATGGGATTTACCTTTTTCCCCACCTGCCAGGTGAGGGTTGTTAGATTTTATCAGAGCGCTCTTCCTCCGCCTCCTCCTCCTCCTCCTCGACTAGCTGTCCTCTTCCTCCTCGTCCTCCTCCTCGCCTCCTCCTCCAGTTTCTCCTCGACCATGTCTGCATCAACTTCCACCTCAACTTCCGCCTTCCCAACTCTTCGCCAAGCTCTTCGCCAACTTCCCAGCTCAGTGCGCACCGCTGGACCTCAACCTGGGAGCTTCCCAGCTCTGTGTCCACCGCTGGACCTCAACCTGGGAGCTTCCCAGCTCAGTGTGCACCGCTGGACCTCAACCTGGGAGCTTCCCAGCTCAGTGTGCACCGCTGGACCTCAACCTGGGACCTTCACAGCTCAGTGTGCACCGCTGGACCTCAACCTGGGACCTGCCCAGCTCAGTGTGCACCGCTGGACCCCAACGGCCAGATAAAATGCCAGAAGATATGCTAGATAGAATGTCAGATAGAATGTCAGAAAGAATACCAGAAGATATGCCAGATAAAGTGCCAGATAGAATGCCAGATAGAATGCCAGAAGGTATGCCAGATAGAATGTCAGATAGAATGCCAGAAGGTATGCCAGATAAAGTGCCAACATATTTGCCAGATAGAACGCCAGAATATTTTCCAGATAAAATATCAGAAGATATGCCAGAAGATATGCCAGATAGAGTGCCAGAAGATATGCCAGAACATATGCCAGGTAGAATGCCAGAAGAAATGCCAGATAAAATGCCAGAAGATATGCCAGATAGAATGCCAGAAGGTATGCCAGATAGAATGCCAGATAGAATGCCAGAAGGTATGCCAGATAAAGTGCCAGAATGTTTGCCAGAACATATGCCAGAAGATTTGCCAGATAGAATGCCAGATAGAATGTCAGAAGATATGCCAGAAGATATGCCAGATAGAGTGCCAGAAGATATGCCAGAACATATTGCAGAAGATATGCCAGGTAGAATGCCAGAAGATATGCCAGAACATATTGCAGAAGATATGCCAGATAAAATGCCAGAAGATATGCCAGATAGAATGCCAGAAGAATTGCCAGTAACAAAACGTATAGATGTCATGACGGGGATAACTCGAAGTATAGTATTTTTTGGGTGGTATTAAGTACATATATGTATGTAATGTAATGTAATGTAATGTAATGTAATGTAATGTAACGTAACGTAATGTAATGTAATGTATGTAATGTATGTAATTTATGTAATGTATGTAATGTATGTATTGTATGTAATGTATGTAATGTATGTAATGTATGTAATGTATGTAATATATGTAATGTAATGTAATGTCATGTCATGTAATGTAATGTAATGTAATGTATGTATGTATGTATGGAATGTAATGTAATGTAATGTAATGTAATGTAATGTAATGTAATGTAATGTAATGTATGTAATGTATGTAATGTATGTAATGTATGTAATGTATGTAATGTATGTAATGTATGTAATGTATGTAATGTATGTAATGTATGTAATATATGTAATGTAATGTAATGTCATGTCATGTCATGTAATGTAATGTAATGTAATGTAATGTAATGTATGTATGTATGCATGCATGCATGTATGTATGTATGTATATATGTAATGTAATGTATGTAATGTATGTATGTATGTATGTATGTATGTATGTATGTATGTATGTATGTGTGTATGTATGTATGTATGTATGTATGTATGTATGTATGTATGGAATGGAATGTAATGTAATGTAATGTATCCCCGTCTGGTGGTACTGGCTGAAAAGGGGTGAGCTCTACCTCAAAAATTTAGCTAGCTGCAACTGTTACCTGACACTTGTACCCATGGTTTTCAGCCAAGCCCCAGATAGCATCATTTCTGAGAAATAGAGTTTCAGGATGCAGTTGAGCATGTGTTCATGTTACCTGGGCTCCACAGTTTTCAGCCACAGCTCTACTCGATTCCATGTATTTCTATGCTGACCTCAGATCCATAGTATTCAGCCAACAACATTGGGAAAACAGACACATCAACCAAGAGGTGAATCCCAAGTTTCCAGCCATTGCGCAATAAATCCTAGGGCCTAGGGTTTGAGACTTTGCAGTGGTCAGGTCATTGGATTCCTGAAAAGTCAGCGTGGGAGAAAATAATTGTTGTACAATGACCTTGTTGAGACAAACCATCAACAAGACAAATCGTTTCACAATGGACTTGTTGAGTTGAAATCCTGGAAATGTGCTTCGCGCCACAACGGCGTACACTTTTTCGACATCTCAACTCCCAAAAGTGGTCCCCACCTGGTGTGTTTTGTGCATTTTGACTTGCAAATGTGCTTCGCGCCACAACGGCGTGCACTTTTTCGACATCTCACATGCAACATGGTAGGACTGGGTTTTCATGATGATATTTTATGATGGGAATTTTGATCAGACCTAAGGATCTAATCCTCCACTGCAACGTGTATATAAGAAGTGGGAACCATGATGAGATTTTATGCGGAATTATTTTTGATGGTCACACCCAAGGATTTTAGCCATCAATTAATGTAATTATGGTGATGAGATCAAGAATACCGAGAAAAGACTTACCGTAGTCCCAAGGATTTTATCCATCAATGAATGTAATGATGATGTTGAGATCAAGAATACCGAGATAAGACTTACCGTAGTCCCAAGGATTTTATCCATCAATTAATGTAATGATGATGCTGAGATCAAGAATACCGAGATAAGACTGACCGTAGTCCTAAGGATTTTATCCATCAATTAATGTAATGATGGTGATGAGGCCAAGAATACCGAGATCAGACCCACCGTAGTCCCAAGGATTTTATCCATCAATTAATGTAATGATGATGATGACATCAAGAATACCGAGTAAAGACTTACCGTAGTCCCAAGGATTTTATCCATCAATGAATGTAATGATGATGTTGAGATCAAGAATACCGAGATAAGACTTACCGTAGTCCCAAGGATTTTATCCATCAATTAATGTAATGATGATGATGAGATCAAGAATACCGAGATAAGACTGACTGTAGTCCTCAGGATTTTATCCATCAATTAATGTAATGATGATGCTGAGATCAAAAATACCGAGAAAAGACTTACCGTAGTCCCAAGGATTTTATCATCGTAAAAAATTGGTGTTCCGGGGAGGTTCAACAGCATGTGAAAGATTCAACAGGATGTGCGTGTGTTGGCCTGCATTTCAGGTGCCTATGATTTCAGCCACTTGAAACATGTAAGTTGTAAGATGCCAGGTAACCTCACTCCCCTAGTTTTCAGCCACGGGAACATACAAGTACTTTTCCTACTTTGGCTATATTTTTGGGCTTGGGGTCATGTTTCCAGCCCATGGCTTTCAGTCTTGGTACCTACCCTTTCAGCCAGCATATTGGCTGGAATGGGGGCTGTAGACCCTAAGAGTTCCATCCATCGGGGATGTAATGGAATGGAATGGAATGTAATGTAATGTAGTGTAATGTAATGTATGTAATGTAATGTAATGTAATATAATGTAATGTATATATGTATTTGTACTTGTAGCTGTTCAATCATGTGCGACTAATCGTTGGTTAACACTTTAGTTACTGATGAAATATCTGTATTATTCTGTATTGGGATTGATACTAAGCCAATGATTACTCAGAGTGCCGACCCGCTGAGACAATTAGACGATCGTCAACCAGCTAAAATGAGTGTTTCCTTTTGGCGGGGTATTTGGGATAATTTTTCAATGTGCAGGGTATCTGAGGTTGACCACGCTTGGAGGACGGCAGATTTGACCAGAGTTCCATATTTTTGCTCCTTAAATCCACCATGTGGCTTAGTCTGAAAATAAGCTACCCCAAATCCGGTGGTTGATAGTCATATTTTCCCATTTAAGTATATTGTAGCTATGTGGGCGTACACCCCATTTTCACACACATCATGTCCTGTATGATACCAGCAGCACCAACGAATCCAGGTTGCTGACCCCCAACGCCTCCAACGGCATCGAATCCAGTGGTGCTTCCTGCACGGCACCGACGGTTGGTACGCTTTCTAGAGATCACGCTTCGGAGGGGCGGTGGTTTTCTGTGGGATACCCTCTGGTGAGGTTGATACCTGTGAAAATCATCTAGAAATTAAATAATGTTTTTTTACACCAAGCCATGCTTGATTACTGGGGGGGGCTAGACACCGATGAACTTTGAAACTTGTTGGTAAACATACTTGATTCACAGCAACCCCCAAAAGGTAGGCAACAATTTACTAGAATGATGATAGTTTACTGTTCTATCTTTTTTGGGGTTACTATATACATGATGAGCCTTTTATGGATTGCACTTAACCATTTACTAAGTGGGGGCTCCAAGGGTCCAACGCTCCAATTAGAAGAACCATTGAGTGAACAATGGGCCGGCACAGAAATAGATATAGAATACCTGCATGTAGCTGCAGGCCACATAACTCATCATTCCCCCTGAGTTCAAGGCATCATTTGCTTCAGTCATTTTGGCATGATTGATCCAGATTGCTGCCAACGCCACGTAGAAGTCCAGTCCACCTAAGAAACCCACTATAGTTTTGGATAGTGCGACTTGGCCAGTGCACATTGGATGATTGCCCCTGTACACAGTCCACAATGTAAAAGTTGGCTAGTGAAAGTGCAACTTGTTAGTCATTGTTTCCGGATGATTTGCGGTTTCAATCCCAAAATTGTTTGTTTCCAGTTTGAGACAACATTAGTTTATTGAACTGGGTCCGGGAACATTTTCAGGAAAAGATGTTGTTCCTGGCAAGTATAAGCGGAACCCCTCCAGAAATGCTTAGACAATCTTAGACATGTATATATGAGGCGCAGTAAGGGGACTGATCCAAATCGGATTGAACGCACTATAATTTCCGGTTTCAATCATACAAAACAAAGCCTATATATATACATACATACATATATATATATACACATACATATATATATATATATCCCCATGAAGTCCCCATAATATCCCAATGATATCCCATCCCTGTGAGTTAATGTCTTGTTTTACCCCTCACAATCTAAGGTGATAATCTGATAACCTACCATGAAGCCAGTGGTAATCTGTGAGTCATGGAGATTTTCTAGGGTATGTCTAATGCTTACCCGGGCCAAACATGCAATAACTCACATAGGTGTGGAACATTTCCATGATTTTCCTGAGAAAAGTGAGCGACAGTCATGGTGAGTTCTCCACATCTATGGTCCATGTTAGACCTGGATCCTGGCGCAGAATCACATCATTGACTTCGGTGTGGTGCGCCCTGACTGGCTCGGTGGCTTGGCTCCGAAAATTGGGTGAAACTATTGAAGTTTTCCCACAGGTTTCACACCTGATGCATGGAATGTTGACCTTCGGCAGGTTGCGAAAGTATGTTGAAGTCTCAACATTTGACATACCTCCCATGAAGCTAGGGATGGGTAGTTCAGCGGCTCAAGCCAGGGGCACCCCAATAGATGGATGATGAGATCCAAAATCGTTTGCAATCGTTGAGAAACCCAGAAGCCAGTGATGGTGAGAAGAAGGAAGCTGCGAAAATTTTGGCAAACTTGGCAATGGATGTCCAGAACAAAGCAGCCATCGCAGCTGCGAGTGGCATTCCTCCGCTGGTAGCCCTGGTCACAAGTGGCAGCGATTCTGCGAAGCAAGATGCTGCACGTGCTTTGGGAAACTTGGCAGTGAATGACCAGAACAAGGCAGCCATCACAGCTGTGGGTGGCATTCCTCCGCTGGTAGCCCTAGTCACAAGTGGCAGCGATTTTGCGAAGCAATGTGCTGCACGTGCTTTGGCAAACTTGGCAACGAATGACCAGAGCAAGGCAGCCATCGCAGCTGCGGGTGGCATTCCTTCGCTGGCAGCTCTGGTCACAAGTGGCAGCGATTCTGCCAAGGGACATGCTGCACATGCTTTGGGAAACTTGGCAAGGAATGACGAGAACAGGGCAGCCATCATGGCAGCTGGCAGAGTCCAAGCAATTCAGGAGATGGCCAAAGATGGCAAGGTGCTGGTGCACCGACAGATGGCGCAGGAAGCTCTGAAGCATTTTCCCCGCGAGTCCGGCTCTGCAGAGGGCGGCACCAAGCTTGGCAGCGATCCGGCGACAAAGCCGAGCACTACTGTCTCCGCGGAGAAGCTTCGGGGTGAGATGAGGACGCTGGAATCTGGAAACGAAGAGCTGAAGGCCAAAGCAGCTGAGAAGCTCGGAACTTGGGCAGCCGTTTCGGATGAGAACAGAGTCGCCATCAGCAGAGAAGGTGGAGCTGAGGCATTGGTGGCTTTACTGGTGACTGGCAGCGATGATGCCAAATGGCATGCTGCCAGGGCCTTGCGAAATCTCGCAAACAATTGTGAGGCCAAGGAGGTCATCTTGAAGGCCGGTGGGATTGCCACATTGGAGCCTGTTGTGAGGCACGGGAAAGGGAAGGTAAAAGAGGCTGCGGATGAGGCTTTGAAACTTCTGTCTCAAAAGCAGGAAACCAAGTCCATCCAGGCTACAGGACACGGAAAGATTGCAGAAGGAGGACCAGGAGACACAATTCCAACTGGGGAAGGCACTCGGGTGGCCATGTTTTCTACCAGATTCGATGGAGGCCCAATTGAACAGATGCTCAGCTGGGGTGTGCCATTTTGAAGTTTTATTTCTTCTCTTTTATATTGCAGAACAAATTGTAGTTACAGGATGTTTCAGGTACTTATTGTGTCAACCTCCAATCACATGGCAAGTACATGGGATCAGTATTCCCCAGTTTGGTTTTGGCATCCGTTTTGGCGCCTGTGGAAAGCTTGAGTTTATGTTACCTGAGTGCCATCTCTCTAAGGAAAATCCGCAAAGTGTTCCAGATTCTTTGCGCCCGAAAGTATGATATCCTGATGGTGACTGCAGATGCTGGCCAAAGCTTCGGGGATTTGACCACCAAATACCTGGGGCGGCTGCGCAAAGAAAATGGCACCATGATTGCTGTGTGTACCAAGCACTACGGCGAGATGACTGCTTCTGCTTATTCCTCCCACAAGGACAGGATTCCTTACGCCTTACACTTTGCATGTTTGGGTTGTTAAACATCAATCTTTTGGTTGTGAAATAGTGGCTGCCCCCACAACACAGTCATAATGTAATAAATCCTGATCCTTAAAATCATGGGTTACCTGCATAGTACTAAATTATTAGCATTGGCACCCCTATTAATGAACTGTGGACCTCTTCACTATTTTTAAAGAATATATTGGGAACCCTGTAACACCGATAGGAGCTGAAGTTTGCTCTGGATTACGAGAAGTTTGTGACAGTGTTGCCGCTGAGGGTGGATGACACGTACCCGCCAGAGCCACCAGGTTGGTATTTGTCAAAGCTAGCTGCCTGAGTGTTGAATGAAACTTGTATTGCAACTACCAGGTTTAATAGAAGTGATGAAACCCAATACTACATGTTACAGTTTTTCTAGAAACGCATGAGCATCCCCACAACCAGCGGGTGAATCACTTTAGCTGCAGGGTTTGGGGGGTTGTTCAGGTGGGCCTGGTCACGCGTATGACAAAGAGTACCTTGCTCAAGGATATATTTTGAGTGTCTTCAAGCCGAGCGTTGTGTTCCTGGAATGCCGGGAAAAATCGGAAATAGAAATCGCCGCACAAATTGCCACTGTCCTCCAAAGGCACAAAGTGGGCAAGGACGGCTCAAGTTGACATTCGCAAGGATCAACCGTTTATCGCAGGTTCACTGTGGTTACCCTTTGTTTTTTCTGAATCTCCAGAGGAGATAGAGGAGCACCGTTCACAACGGAAAAAAAATGTAGCGCTGCATGCAGCTTGCAGTGGGTCAAACTGCCTGCGCTGAACTGTCCATGCTTAGAGATCTCAATCTGGCTGGTGTTTCGATTCATTTGTTATGGAATGATTTGCTAGCTGCATTTTCAGCCAGTAAGTGGATCATATACCATTAAGCGAACAACAAACATACCAAAACAACCCAACAGAACGATTTCCGTCACCAAACCACCGTTTTTTTTAACCTTAAAAACACCAGCACAGCTGCCCCCGCCCAGCCGTCCCACCATGTTTTCACCTTCTCGCGGACGTCAGGATGGTCTTCTGCTTTGTTGGCATCTCCAGCCTATAAGCGATGAGCTATGCTTCTGGGCTCGCATTTAATGGGTCCATTTTCTTTCTGATGCTTATGATGTTTTAGAGATGTTCATAGAAAACAAATGCAGGAACCCAGTTTTGCCAATACTATTGGCAGCAGAAATATATGGTGCAGATGGACAGCCCTTGGGAAACCTTGGAACAGTGGTGGCACATGCTGAGCAAATGCTTACCCTGGGGTAAACTAACGTAGATGTGGAACAAATCCTAGGAAAATTGACAAAAAAATGTTAGGTTTTCCACATCTATGTTAGTTTGGAGGAGAGTAACATTGAAAAATCAAGGCTAGAAAGTCTGGGTATGTTGCCCCATATTGCCCCCCTGGATTGCAGACTACCTTTGCCTCTAGTTCTTGGATGTTCTTGGTATGTTTTTGTTGGGTCTAGTGTCTACTTCATTTATTTGATGTAAGTTATTGTTTATTGCTCAATTATTGCTTGGTATCAACTCAGTTTGACCTATTCATGAAATGTTTCAATATGTCTCAATATACCTGGAACCTTCGAGTATCCATCGGGTTTGTTCTCCCAATCTTTTTGGTACTTTGCACACATCTTTATGATCTTTATGGGTTGAGGGTCCAGGTCAAACTCGCTTCAGGACGTATCCTTCAACCAGGGCGCTATGGCAGCAGCGGGAGTTGAGGCCGTGGAGGACGACAAGGGCGCGGTGATCGCGGAGATTCGCCTCTCGAGGCGACGGTGGTGGAACTGGCGGGCTGTTGTGGATGGAGAGTGGCCAACTGATTGTTAAAGCTCGGAAAATAGAATTGTTGAGTACTGGTACTGACAGTGACATGAGGATGGCGTGGATTCATTGGGTTTTCATTTGTTTGCGCCATTGAGCTAAGGAGTAGAAACGGTATCAAGGCATACATTAGACAGTTTTCTGTCGACTTCTCAAATCTCGCTTCTTTACTGAAAGTTAAACCATTTACAGCTTCAAGAAGTTTGTTTTTAACACACCAACCGTTTTTTTTTTAATAATTATAGGATCTAGCGATATAAAACCCAACGGATTCCTGCAAATATATGTTCCATTTCCCATGTTTTTTCCCATGTTTTCCCCAACATCTCCCATGGCTTCGCCACGTCCTCGTGTCCATGCGCCGAGGCAACGGATCCCGCGCGTGGCCACGGCCGTCGCTGCCGGCCACGGAGCAGTTCATCCGCTTCTCGCCCTTGCCGCTTGGCGCTGGGAATTTGAGGTTGTAATCCTGTGGGATCATGCTGAATCATAATCGAGTAATTAATAGAGTAATTATTCCAATATGTAAGTACACATCAATACATGTCATCAAGGTGTTCAAATTAATTTCTAAACCATTACGTGAATCGAATCGAAAACTCAGCCGTCTCTTTCAAGCTTCGCCAGGAAGACGCTCCCAGCGCGGCTCAGCCTTTCGGGGCTTGGCTTCCAGAGAGTTCTGGCCTGGTCCACCCTGCCACGGAGTACCATCAGCTTCTTGGATGGTGGGCGCATTTGCCGCTGATATCATGGGAATGTTTTGAGAAGTAAGGGATGTAACATTAAAAACAGTGGGACATTGTTTTTGTTAATAAGTGGTGTCAAAAAAACACAGGGTGTGTGTTTGATTTGTGTAGTTGGTTTCTGGCCTATGGGTTTGCAACTGCAATGGGGGCCACGACCGAACTTGGTCTGTAGTCTTTTCTGACTCCTGAACAGAAACCGTCTTCCGTGCACACTTGACGTTGGGCTGGGCTGAAGTGCCTTGGTCTCTTGTCCACCGTGCGCCTTTGTGAGAGTTGTTGGTTTCTCAGTAACTATCACCTTCCAGCGTTGGCCTTCACAATCAATCCTTGGTGAAATCCATTCAACAAAACATCCATCAGCATCAACCAAGGCTTGCCACCGGGACTGATGGACTTCAACCTCAGCATCACATTGCACGACTTCTTCCTGGGTGTTCCGGTGTCGACGTCTTCAGTGGTTGCAACTCGGAGCCATTTCCCGCCTATATTTATTCCATTTATCATTGATAACTGATAAATATAAGGATTTACTAGGGATTTTACCATTGGATCATTGATAACTATGGGATATACTAGGGACTTACCAATTTTCCATGGATAAAGGGAACCATACAAGAAATATCACTAAATTGAAGTGGGCCCAAGCATTAACAAGGGATTTACTATGGAAGGATAGAAGTAACCAGTGATGTTGTATACCCAAAGCCTATAACCATTCCCAATGACATGCCAGAAATGTGGTGCAAGTTCACGACCCCCAAGTGCAGTGTGTGGCATTCGCTTTGATGGAAAGTGGGTGGGGCATTATTGGGATATCGTATGATAAAATTACCAAATTTTCTGAGCACAGTTGCAAACATCTGATATCTTTGGCTCTTTGGGAAATACTTTAGACATTCATAGGAGCAACATCGAACATGGACCTGGATATGGCATCTAACAGATGAGAACTGGTGGATTTGCCATGAGGGTACCAGCCGTAAATGGCGATAGAAGCCACGAGGACCGCACGCTCTGGACCGTCTTCGAGCCCTTGGCGGAAGCCAACGAGGCATCCTGCGCCAAGAGTTGCGAGGAGAACTTGGATTGTTTGACCTCATTTCCAGGATATCATGGATGCTTCCCGGCAGCATGTTTGGATAGGTTTGGTTTGGGGATACGTTTATTTGCATGTTCAGTTTAGATGATGCAAAGGTCACCATTTTTGTGGTGAAGAGATAGCCTGCGGGAAACCATCATGGTAGCCCTAAAATCCAGGCTACCAACAGATTTTTCAACCGTAGAATTTTCCCAACTCATCCAAGTTATTCTACACAAATCCTTGTATATTTTGTTTGTGCCTTCGAAACATCCCGATTTGCCCCATGTCCAACGAGAGCCCGTTATTTGACCCAGGTTTTGAGGCTTGTAACAACCACAGCCACCACGAAGCAACTGCTGCCGCCAGTGGTATAGCCTTGGCGGCCGGGAATCGCACGCTGCGGGGGCAGCTGGCAGGGTGCAGGTGCGACGTTGTCGCCGAAGGGCGGGGATGATGGTGATGGGATGGAGAGTTTTATAGAATTTTTTACCCCAAAAAGGTAGACGCAATGTATCACTAGTTTAATGGGATTTACCTTTCGTTTCTGGGGTAGCAATTTGTGTAATTATTTGCTCATGTGCAATGAATCATTGGTTGATCTCTGAGTTACTATACTAATGAAGCATCCGTGTTGGGATTGATACTAATTCACTACTCAGAGTGGCTACCCGCTGGGACAATTAGACCACGCTTGGAGGACGGCAGATTTGGCCAGAGTTTCATCGATTTTGCCATATGTTTGCTCATCAGATCCACCATGTGGGTTAGTCCGAAAATAGGGTACCCCAAAATCCAATGGTTGCTATAGTCATATTCCCCATTAAAGTATATATTATATAAAGGTAACTAGCTTATTTGGGTGTACACCCCATTTTCACACACATCCATGTCCTGTATGATACCAGCAGCACCAACGAATCCAGGTTGCTGACCCCCAACGCCTCCAACGGCATCGAATCCAGTGGTGCTTCCTGCACGGCACCGACGGTTGGTACGCTTTCTAGAGATCACGCTTCGGAGGGGCGGTGGTTTTCTGTGGGATACCCTCTGGTGAGGTTGATACCTGGGAAAATCACCTAGAAATTAAATAATGTTTTTTTACACCAAGCCATGCTTGATTACTGGGGGCTAGACACCGCACCAGATGAACTTTGAAACTTGTTGGTAAACATATATACTGTACTTGATTCACAGCAACCCCAAAAAAAGGTAGGAAACAAGATACTAAAATGATGATAGTTTACTGTTCTATCTTTTTTGGGGTTACTATATACATGATGAGCCTTTTATGGATTGCACTTAACCATTTACTAAGTGGGGGCTCCAAGGATCCAACGCTCCAATTAGAAGAACCATTGAGTGAACAATGTGCCGGCACAGAAATAGATCTAGAATACCTGCATGTAGCCGCAGGCCACATAACTCATCATTCCCCTGAGTTCAAGGCATCATTTGCTTCAGTCATTTTGGCATGATCGATCCAGATTGCTGCCAACCAACACCACGTAGAAGTCCAGTCTTATAGTTTTGGATAATGCGACTTGGCCAGTGCACATTGGATGATTGCCCCTGTACACGGTCCACAATGTAAAAGTTGGCTAGTGAAAGTGCAACTTGTTGGTCATTGTTTCCGGATGATTTGCGGATATTTGCGGTTTCATTCCCAAAATTGTTTGTTTCCAGTTTGAAACAACAGTAGTTCATTGAACTGGGTCCGGGAACATTTTCAGGAAAAGATGTTGTTCCTGGCAATAATAAGCGGAACCCCTCCAGAAATGCTTAGACAATCTTAGACATGTATATGAGGCGCCGTAAGGGGACTGATCCCATCGGATTGAACGAACTTTTACTTCCGGTTTCAATCATACCAAACAAAGCCACTGTATATACCTACACACACACATATATATATATATATATATATATCGCCCCTAATATCCCAATGATAACCCATCCCTGTGAGTTAAATGTCTTATTTTACCCCTAACAATCTAAGGTGATCATCCACAATGAAGCCAGTGGTAATCTATGAGTCATGGAGATTCTCTAGGGTATGTCTAATGCTTACCCTGGGCTAAACACTCACATAGGTGTGGAACATTTCCATGATTTTCCTGGGAAAAGTGAGCGACAGTCATGGTGAGTTCTCCATATCTATGGTCCATGTTAGACCTGGATCCCGGCGCAGAATCACATCATTGACTTCGGTGTGGTGCGACCCGACTGGCTCGGTGGCTTGGCTTCGAAAACTGGGTGAATTAAATTACTAAAGTTTTCCCACAGTTTTCCCACCTGACGCATGGAATCTTGACCTTCGGCAGGTTGCGAAAGTATATAGAAGTCTCAACAGCTGACATACCTTGCATGAAGCTAGCAGCTAGGGATGGGCAGTTCAGTGGCTCAAGCCAGGGGCACCCCAAGTGATGGATGATGAGATCCAAAATCGTGTGCGATCGTTCGGAAACCCAGAAGCCAGTGATCGTGAGAAGAAGGAGGCTGCGCAAATTTTGGCAAACTTGGCATGGAATGACCAGAACAGGGCAGCCATCGCAGCTGCGGGTGGCATTCCTCCGCTGGTAGCTCTGATCACGAGTGGTAGCGATTCTGCCAAGGGCTATGCTGCAGGTGCCTTGAGAAACTTGGCAAGGAATGACCAGAACAAGGCAGCCATCGCAGCTGCGGGTGGCATTCCTCCGCTGGTAGCACTGGTCACAAGTGGCAGCGATTTTGCCAAAGAAAATGGTGCGCGTGCTTTGCGAATCTTGGCAGCGAATGACCAGAACATGGCAGCCATCGTAGCTGCTGGTGGCATTCCTCCCCTGGTAGCACTGGTCACAAGTGGCAGCGATTCTGCCAAGGAAAAGGCTGCATACGCTTTGGCACTCTTGACAGTGAATGACCAGAACAGGGCAGCCATCGCAGCTGCGGGTGGCATTCCTCCGCTGGTAACTCTGATCACAAGTGGTAGCGATTCTGCCAAGGAATATGCTGCACTTGCTTTGGGAAGCTTGGCAACGAATGACCAGAACAGGGCAGCCATCATGGCAGCCGGCGGAGTCCAAGCTTTTCAGGAGATGGCCAAAGATGGCAAGATGCGGGGGCACCGACGGGCGGCGCAGGAAGCTCTGAAGCATTTTCCCCGCGAGTCCGACTCTGCAGAGGGCGGCACCAAGCTTGGCAGCGATCCGGCGACAAAGCCGAGCACTATTGTCTCCGCGGAGAAGCTTCGGAGTGAGATCAGGACGCTGGAATCTGGAAACGAAGAGCTGAAGGCCAAAGCAGCCGAGCAGCTCGGAACTGCGGCAGCCGTTTCGGATGAGAATAGAGTGGCCATCAGCAGAGAAGGTGGAGCTGAGGCATTGGTGGCTTTGCTGGTGACTGGCAGCGATGATGCCAAATGGCATGCTGCCAGGGCCTTGCGAAATCTCGCAAACAATTGTGAGGCCAAGGAGGCCATCCTGAAGGCCGGTGGGATTGCCACATTGGAGCCTGTTGTGAGGCACGGGAAAGGGAAGGTGAAAGAGGCTGCGGATGAGGCTTTGAGACTTCTGTCTGAAAAGCAGGAAACCAAGTCCATCCAGGCTACAGGACACGGAAAGATTGCAGAAGGAGGACCAGGAGACACAATTCCAACTGGGGAAGGCACCCGGGTGGCCATGTTTTCTGCCAGATTCGATGGAGGCCCAATTGAACAGATGCTCAGCTGGGGTGTGCCATTTTGAAGTTTTATTTCTTCTCTTTTATATTGCAGAAAAACTTGTAGATACAGGATGTTTCAGGTACTTATTGTGTCAACCTCCAATCACATGGCAAGTACATGGGATCAGTATTCCCCAGTTTGGTTTTGGCATCCGTTTTGGCGCCTGTGGAAAGCTTGAGTTTATGTTACCTGAGTGCCATCTCTCTAAGGAAAACCCGCAAAGTGTTCCAGATTCTTTGCGCCCGAAAGTATGATATCCTCATGGTGGCTGCAGATGCTGGCCAAAGCTTCGGGGATTTGACCACCAAATACCTGGGGCGGCTGCACAAAGAAAACGGCACCATGATTGCTGTGTGTACCAAGCACTACGGCGAGATGACTGCTTCTGCTTATTCCTCCCACAAGGACGGGATTTCTCATATACACTTTGCATGTTTGGGTTGTTAAACATCCATCTTTTGGTTGCGAAATAGCGGTTCCCTCCACAACAGAGTCATAACGCAAGAAATCCTGATCACCATAGTGTTAAATTATTAACATTGGCACCCCCATTAATGAACTGGAGACTTGCTCATTATTTTAAATAGAATATATTGGGAGCCCTGCAACACTGTAAGGAGCTGAAGTTTGCTCTGGATTACGAGAAGTTTGTGACAGTCTTGCCGCTGAGGGTGGATGACACGTACCCGCCAGAGCCACCAGGTTGGTATTTGTCAAAGCTAGCTGCCTGAGTGTTGAATGAAGTTTGTATTGCAACCACCTGGTTTAATAGAAGTGATGATACCCATTACTACATGTTACAGTTTTTTCTGGAAAAACATGAGCATCCCCAGAACCAGCGGGTGGAATCACTTTAGCTGCAGGGTTTGGGGAGTTGTTCAGGTGGGCCTGGTCACGCGTATGACAAAGAGTACCTTGCTCAAGGATATATTCTGAGTGTCTTCAAGCCAAGCGTTGTGTTCCTGGAATGCCGGGAAAAATCGGAAATAGAAATCGCCGCACAAATTGCCACTGTCCTCCAAAGGCACAAAGTGGGCAAGGACGGCTCAAGTTGACATTCGCAAGGATCAACCGTGTATCGCAGTTTCACTGTGGTTTACCCTTTGTTTTTTCTGAATCTCCAGAGGAGATAGAGGAGCACCGTTCACAACGGAAAAAAAATGTAGCGCTGCATGCAGCTTGCAGTGGGTCAAACTGCCTGCACTGAACTGTCCACGCTTAGACACGTGATTTTGTACACAAGTGTAACCGAAAACAGAATCATTTCAGTGGTTCTACATCATGTACAGTGTCTTTCCCATAGTTTGCTACCCAGCATCCTATCCCATGTTTGCCGCCGGTTTCAACTACGAAAGTTGTGGCAGAAATGCCAGGCAAAAAACAATGTTGGAGAGATTTGCCCTTGGTAGGGTTTGTTTTTGAAGGGCCGTCACATGATTGTCCGGACAATTTGGATGATAGTTTCCTCGCCTAGGTTTCGGGTGGATTCTGCCTGACATAAATCAACCATTGAAAGGGCTTGTCAGCCGCATTTCTGATGGTGCAAGTTCAAGTTAACAATTAAATGGACAACCAATTCATACCAAATCAACCAAGTTTGGCACAAAGTTTGGTGCCCAGTAAGGACCTAAGCCGGCAAACAACTCTACCTGCGCTCATATCCCAGGTAACACGGCTCGCTGGGAGTTTAGCCTTATTCTGGAAGTGGGCGATCAAGAATTCCTTGCAGAGGTGTGGCATGATGCGATGGTAAAAGGCAATGGTATCACTGTTCAAAGATGTTGAAATAATTATTGTAATATTCATGTTAAGATTATTTCCCTTCTTTTTTGCGGGGTTCATCAGCGCGATCGCCCAGCAAATATGCTTCATAGGAACTCCCTACAAAATAGAAGAATAGAATCCCACCCAAACATAGAATTTTAGGGCCCAATTACTAATTACGGGGTTATGACCCACCCCAAACCCCACTTGATCCCCTGACGCATCCCCGCCAGGCCTCAGCAGTTGTCTTCTTAGCCTTGCTGTCACCAGCATGGACTTTGGTCAAAGTCAAAGCCTTAAAGAATGCGCAGGACACCGCCCAACGGAAACGTTGGTTCATAGCAACACGAAAAGAAAGGTGCCGAAAAGTCTTTCCAGGATGGATGTTTCCCGCATATTTTCCAGGCTTCCAACCATTTTTTTTTTTTGGGGGGGGGTGCTAGTATGGGAGATATTAGTTTGGGTCCCAATCATTGGATGTGTTTTATATTCGGAGCATGCATAGAGCTTGCAATTTAGACCGGGAAAATGCGTGGACGCTGGCCTTTTTTTTAGATGTATTCTTGAAGGGCGGGGTTAGTTGCTACTCGAAGGGTAGGGCCCCTCGATTTTTCTACCCCGTGCCTTTCGCAGGCTACTAATCTCAGCCGCATGGTAATAATGATGGGATGTGAGAGCCACGCAACACCCATGATCACCCATGACTTGGATATCTTGGACGAAGAATTGCGGAACTCATCCATTTTTTCCGCGGTGTAAATTACACCCTCATCACCATCGTCCACAGTTCAGGAGACGGAAGCTTGGATGGATCAGTTGATCCTGGTGAGTCGGATGGACAAACTCACTGCCAAAGCACCTCGGATGGTCCCGTGGCACAGCTTGGTGTCGGCCAGTCGCGCGGGTGAGGAGGACTTGGAGCCGGATGCAGTGCCGGAGGCAGTGCCAGAGGCCGATGGGGATGGCTTTGTGCTCATGGGATGGGGGTTGTTAAGCTTCAAACATGGAGGTTTTGGCAGAACAATATGTGCTGACATGTATTGACACATCCATATAAAATTGTACTATATTTAGATAGTGCAGATGTGTATCAACTCTTCGGCCGTGGCTCTCCCAGCCATTGAACCGATGCAACCCAGGCATATTCGCGAGGTGAATTGGCAGATCTCCAATTGGCCAGCTCGCTGCTGAGCATCGACTTCAGCCCCTGGCAACAGAAATATGCGGTGCAGATGGACAGCCCTTGGGCCTTTGGGAAACCTGGGAACAGTGGTGGCACATGCTGAGCAAATGCTTACCCTGGGGTCAACTAACGTAGATGTGGAAAACCCCTGGTTTCCGAGGAAAATGGTCTACAAATGGTGGGTCCTCCACAGCTATGTTAGTTTGGAGGAGAGCAACATTGAAAAATCAAGGCTAGAAAGTTTGACGTATGTTGCCACCATGTTGCCCCCCAGTGGATTGAAGACTGCCTTTGCCTCTAGTTGTTGGTATGTTTTTCTGGGGTCCAGTGTCTACTTCATGTATTTTGATGTAAGTTATTGCTTATTGCTCAATTATTGCTTGGAATCAACTCTCAGTTTCATACCTGTTCATGAGATTTTTCAATATACCTGAGCCTCCAAGCATCCATTGGGTTTGTTCCCCCAATCTTTTTGGTACATTGTAGCCATTTCTACGGGTTGAGGGTCTAGGAGTCTAGGTCAAACTCGTTGCAGGACGTCTCGATCAAACAGGCCATCCTGGTGGCCCTGCGGACGCTCCCTCCACCCGTGGGATCAGCTTCACCCAGCCAGGCGCTACGGCAGCAGGAGCCGAGGCAGTGGAGGACGACAAGGGCGCGGTGATCGCGGAGATTCTCAAGGCGACGGTGGCGGTGATGTGGGGGGCTGTTCGTGTTTGGAAATGAGTGGCCCAAAACTGATTCTGAAAGCTCCGTAGAAAGCAGGATTGTTAAGTAGAGGTACTGACAGCGACATGAGCATGGCGTGGGTTCATTGGAGTTGTTTTTGTTATTCTGCTACCGAGGAGTAGACATAGAAACGGTCTCAGGGCATAGACTGAACAATCTTTGGAGACATTCCAAATCTGTTTGTTCCATCATCAATCGGTGGGAGGGCCTGTCGACTTCTCACATCTCGCTTCTTTACTAAAGTTAAATCATGTCCTCCTTCAAGAAGTCTTTGTTTTTAACACATCAACATCTTTTAAAATATAGGATCCAGAGATATCTAGAGTAAAACCCAATGGATTCCTACAAAATCCAAATATTTTCCATTTCCCAGCTGTTTTTCCCATGTTTTCCCCGACATCTCCCATGGCTTCGCCACGTCGTCGTGTCCATGCGCCGAGGCAACGGATCCCAGGCGTGGCCATCACGGCCGTCGCTGCCGGCCACGGAGCAGTTCATCCGCTTCTCGCCCTTGCCGCTTGGCGCTGGGAATTTGAGGTTGTAATCCTGTGGGATCATGCTGAATCATAATCGAGTAACTACTCCAATATGTAAGTACACATCAATACATTTCATCAAGGTGTTCAAATTAATTTCTAAACCATTACATGAATCGAATCGAAAACTCAGCCGTCTCTTTCAAGCTTCGCCAGGAAGACGCTCCCAGCGCGGCTCAGCCTTTCGGGGCTTGGCTTCCAGAGAGTTCTGGCCTGGTCCACCCTCCCACGGAGTACCATCAGCTTCTTGGATGGTGGGCGCATTTGCCGCTGATATCATGAGAATGTTTTGAGAAGTAAGGGATGTAACATTAAAAACAGTGGGACATTGTTTTTGTTAATAAGTGGTGTCAAAAAAACACAGGGTGTGTGTTTGATTTGTGTAGTTGGTTTCTGGCCTATGGGTTTGCAACTGCAATGGGGGCCACGACCAAACTTGGTCTGTAGTCTTTTCTGACTCCTGAACAGAAACCGTCTTCCGTGCACACTTGACGTTGGGCTGGGCTGAAGTGCCTTGGTCTCTTGTCCACTGTGCGCCTTTGTGAGAGTTGTTGGTTTCTCAGTAACTATCACCTTCCAGCGCTGGCCTTCACAGTCAATCCTTGGTGAAATCCATTCAACAAAACATCCATCAGCATCCACCAAGGCTTGCCACCGGGACTGATGGACTTCAACCTCAGCATCACATTGCACGACTTCTTCCTGGGTGTTCCGGTGTCGACCTCTTCAGTGGTTGCAACTCGGAGCCATTTCCGGCCTATATTTATTCCATTTATCATTGATAGGAATATACTAGGGACTTACAACTTTCCATGGATAAAGGGAACCATACAAGAAATATCAATAAATTGAAGTGGGCCCAAGCATTAACATGGGATTTACTAATATGGATAAATGGGAACAAGGATAGAAGCAACCAGTGATGTTGTATGCCCAAAGCCTATAACCATTCCCAATGACATGCCAGAAATGTGAAAGGGGGTGGGGCATCATGGGGATAGCGTATTGCCCATATTTTCTGGGCACAGTTGCAAAAATCTGATATCCTTGGGGACTTTTGGGAATACTTCAGAAATTCATAGGAGCAACATCGAACATGGACCTGGATATGGCATCCAACAGATGAGGACCTTACTGGTGGATTTACCATGAGGATACCAGCCATAAATGGCGATAGAAACCACGAGGACCGCAAGCTCTGGACCGTCTTCGAGCCCTTGGCGGAAGCCAACGTGGCATCCTGCGCCAAGAGTTGCGAGGAGAACTTGGATTGTTTGACCTCCTTTCCAGGATATCATGGATGCTTCCCGGCAGCATGTTTGGATAGGTTTGGTTTGAGGATATGTTTATTTGCATTTACGTGTTTTGGATGGTGCAAAAAGTCACCATTTTTGTGGTGAAGAGATAGCCTGCGGGAAACCATCATGGTACCCCTAAGATCCAGGCTTTCAACAGATTTTTCAACCGTAGAATTTTCCCAACTCATCCAAGTTATTCTACACAAATCCTTGTATGTTTTGTTTGTGCCTTCGAAACATCCCGATTGGCCCCATGTCCAATCCCAGGTTTGAGGCTTACAACAACCAGAGCCACCACGAAGCAACTGCTGCCTCCAGTGGTATAGCCTTGGCGGCCGGGAATCGCACGCTGCGGGGGCAGCTGGCAGGGTGCAGGTGCGACGTTGTCGCCGAAGGGCGGGGATGACAGGATGGGTACCACTAGTTTAATGGGATTTACCGGTCTTTCTTTTTTTGGGGTAGCAGTTCATGTAATTGTTTAGTCATGTGAAATTAATCATTGGTTGACCTCTGAGTTACTATACTAATGATGTATCCGTATTCGGATTGATATATACTATAATTCAATTCTCGGAGTGTCTACCCGCTGGGACAATTAGAGGGGGTATTTGGGATAGCTTTTTCTGTGCGCACGGCATCTGAGATTAACCACGCTTGGAGGACGGCAGATTTGGCCAGAGTTTCATCGATTTTGCCATATTTGTTTGCACATCGGATCCACCATGTGGGTTAGTCCGAAAATAGGGTACCCCAAAATCCAGTGGTTGCTATAGTCATATTCCCCACGTATATATTATATAAAAGTAACTAGCTTATTTGGGTGTACACCCCATTTTCACACACATCCATGTCCTGTATGATACCAGCAGCACCAACGAATCCAGGTTGCTGACCCCCAACGCCTCCAACGGCATCGAATCCAGTGGTGCTTCCTGCACGGCACCGACGGTTGGTACGCTTTCTAGAGATCACGCTTCGGAGGGGCGGTGGTTTTCTGTGGGATACCCTCTGGTGAGGTTGATACCTGTGAAAATCATCTAGAAATTAAATAATCAATGATTTTTTTACACCAAGCCATGATTGATTACTGGAGGGTAGACACTAGACACCGCACCAGATAAACTTTGAAACTGATTGGTAAACATGTTTGATTCACAGCGACCCCCAAAAGGTAGGAAACAATATACTAAAATGATAGTTTACTGTTCTATCTTTTTTGGGGTTTCTATATACATGATGAGCCTTTTATGGATTGCACTGAACCATTTGCTAAGTGGAGGCTCCAAGGGTCCAACGCTCCAATTAGAAGAACCATTGAGTGAACAATGGGCCGGCAGAGAAATAGATATAGAATACATGCATGTAGCCGCAGGCCACATAACTCATCATTCCCCTGAGTTCAAGGCAGCATTTGCTTCAGTCATTTTGGCATGATTGATCCAGATTGCTGCCAAACCAATGCCAAGTAGAAGTCCAGCCGACGTAAGAAATCCACCATAGTTTTGACTAGTGCGACTTGGCCAGTGCACATTGGATGATTGCCCCTGTACACAGTCCACAATGTAAAAGTTGGCGTCCACAATGTAAAAGTTGGCTAGTGAAAGTGCAACTTGTTAGTCATTGTTTCCGGATGATTTGCGGTTTCAATCCCAAAATTGTTTGTTTCCAGTTTGAGACAACATTAGTTCATTGAACTGGGTCCGGGAAAATTTTCAGGAAAAGATGTTGTTCCTGGCAAGTATAAGCGGAACCCCTCCAGAAATGCTTTGACAATCTTAGACATGTATATATGAGGCACAGTAAGGGGACTGATCCCAATCGGATTGAACGAACTATTATTTCCGGTTTCAATCATACAAACCAAAGCCACATGTATTTGTATATATCTATATGTTTATTTATTACACACACACATATATCCATGAAGTCTCCACAATATCCCAATGATATCCAATCCCTGTGAGTTAAATGTCTTATTTTACTCCCACAATCTATATAAGGTGATAATCCACAATTGAGCCAGTGGTAATCTATGAGTCATGGAGATTTTCTAGGGTATGTCTAATGCTTACCCTGGGCTAAACATGCAATAACTCACCCAGGTGTGGAACGACAGTCATGGTGAGTTCTCCACATCTATATGGTCCATGTTCGAGCAGGGTTCTACAAAAAACGCCCGGAAAAAGTTCCAGGATCCCAGCGCGGAATCGCATCGTCGACTTCGGCGTGGTGCTCCCCGACTGGCTCGGTGGCTTGGCTCCGAAAGCTGGGTGAATTTCTAAAGTTTTCCCACAGTTTTCCCACCTGACGCATGGAATCTTGACCTTCTGCAGGTTGCGAAAGTATGTAGAAGTCTCAACAGCTGACATACCTTGCATGAAGCTAGCAGGTAGGGATGGGTAGTTCAGTGGCTCAAGCCAGGGGCACCCCAAGTGATGGATGATGAGATCCAAAATCACGTGCGATCGTTGAGAAACCCAGAAGCCAGTGATCGTGAAAAGAAGGAGGCTGCGAACAGTTTGGCAAACTTGGCAGTGAATGACCAGAACAAGGCAGCCATCGCAGCTGCTGGTGGCATTCCTCCGCTGGTAGCGCTTGTCACAAGTGGCAGCGATTCTGCCAAGGAACAGGCTGCACGTGCTTTGGAAAACTTGGCACCGAATGACCAGAACATGGCAGCCATCGCAGCTGCTGGTGGCATTCCTCCGCTGGTAGCGCTTGTCACAAGTGGCAGCGATTCTGCCAAGGAACAGGCTGCACGTGCTTTGGCAAACTTGGCACTGAATGACCAGAACAAGGCAGCCATCGCAGCTGCTGGTGGCATTCCTCCGCTGGTAGCGCTTGTCACAAGTGGCAGCGATTCTGCCAAGGAACATGCTGCAGGTGCTTTGCGAAACTTGGCAATGAATGACCAGAACAAGGCAGCCATCGCAGCTGCTGGTGGCATTCCTCCGCTGGTAGCGCTTGTCACAAGTGGCAGCGATTCTGCCAAGGAACAGGCTGCAGGTGCTTTGCGAAACTTGGCAATGAATGACCAGAACAAGGCAGCCATCGCAGCTGCTGGTGGCATTCCTCCGCTGGTAGCACTGGTCACAAGTGGCAGCGATTCCGCCAAGGCACAGGCTGCATGTGCTTTGGAAAACTTGGCACCGAATGACCAGAACATGGCAGCCATCGCAGCTGCTGGTGCAGCCATCGCAGCTGCTGGTGGCATTCCTCCGCTGGTAGCGCTTGTCACAAGTGGCAGCGATTCTGCCAAGGAACAGGCTGCACGTGCTTTGATAAACTTGGCACTGAATGACCAGAACATGGCAGCCATCGCAGCTGCTGGTGGCATTCCTCCGCTGGTAGCGCTTGTCACAAGTGGCAGCGATTCTGCCAAGGAACAGGCTGCACGTGCTTTGATAAACTTGGCACTGAATGACCAGAACAAGGCAGCCATCGCAGCTGCTGGTGGCATTCCTCCGCTGGTAGCGCTTGTCACAAGTGGCAGCGATTCTGCCAAGGAACAGGCTGCACGTGCTTTGGAAAACTTGGCACTGAATGACCAGAACAAGGCAGCCATCGCAGCTGCTGGTGGCATTCCTCCGCTGGTAGCGCTTGTCACAAGTGGCAGCGATTCTGCCAAGGAACATGCTGCAGGTGCTTTGCGAAACTTGGCGGCAATGAATATCCAGAACAAGGCAGCCATCGCAGCTGCTGGTGGCATTCCTCCGCTGGTAGCGCTTGTCACAAGTGGCAGCGATTCTGCCAAGGAACCGGCTGCAGGTGCTTTGCGAAACTTGGCAATGAATGACCAGAACAGGCAGCCATCGCAGCTGCTGGTGGCATTCCTCCGCTGGTAGCGCTTGTCACAAGTGGCAGCGATTCTGCCAAGGAACAGGCTGCACGTGCTTTGATAAACTTGGCACTGAATGACCAGAACAAGGCAGCCATCGCAGCTGCTGGTGGCATTCCTCCGCTGGTAGCGCTTGTCACAAGTGGCAGCGATTCTGCCAAGGAACAGGCTGCAGGTGCTTTGGAAACTTGGCAATGAATGACCAGAACAAGGCAGCCATCGCAGCTGCTGGTGGCATTCCTCCGCTGGTAGCGCTTGTCACAAGTGGCAGCGATTCTGCCAAGGAACCGGCTGCAGGTGCTTTGCGAAACTTGGCAATGAATGACCAGAACATGGCAGCCATCGCAGCTGCTGGTGGCATTCCTCCGCTGGTAGCGCTTGTCACAAGTGGCAGCGATTCTGCCAAGGAACAGGCTGCACGTGCTTTGATAAACTTGGCACTGAATGACCAGAACAAGGCAGCCATCGCAGCTGCTGGTGGCATTCCTCCGCTGGTAGCGCTTGTCACAAGTGGCAGCGATTCTGCCAAGGAACATGCTGCAGGTGCTTTGGGAAACTTGGCATTGAATGACCAGAACAAGGAAGGCATTGCAGCTGCGGGTGGCATTCCTCCGCTGGTAGCACTGGTCACAAGTGGTAGCGATTCTGCCAAGGAATGGGCTGCATGGGCCTTGGGAAACTTGGCATGGAATGACCAGAACAGGGCAGCCATCGTGGCAGCCGGCGGAGTCCAAGCTCTTCAGGAGATGGTCAAAGATGGCAAGAAGGTGGTGCACCGACAGGTGGCCAAGGAAGCTCTGAAGCATTTTCCCCGCGAGTCCGACTCTGCAGAGGGCGGCACCAAGCTTGGCAGCGATCCGGCGACAAAGCCGAGCACTGTTGTCTCCGCGGAGAAGCTTCGGGGTGAGATCAGGACGCTGGAATCTGGAAACGAAGAGCTGAAGGCCAAAGCAGCCGAGCAGCTCGGAACTGCGGCAGCCGTTTCGGATGAGAATAGAGTGGCCATCAGCAGAGAAGGTGGAGCTGAGGCATTGGTGGCTTTGCTGGTGACTGGCAGCGATGATGCCAAATGGCATGCTGCCAGGGCCTTGCGAAATCTCGCAAACAATTGTGAGGCCAAGGAGGCCATCCTGAAGGCCAGTGGGATTGCCACATTGGAGCCTGTTGTGAGGCACGCGAAAGGGAAGGTGAAAGAGGCTGCGGATGAGGCTTTGAGACTTCTGTCTCAAAAGCAGGAAACCAAGTCCATCCAGGCGGCAACAGGACACGGAGAGATTGCAGAAGCAGGAGACACAATTCCAACTGGGGAAGGCACTCGGGTGGCCATGTTTTCTGCCAGATTCGATGAAGGCCCGATTGAACAGATGCTCAGCTGGGATGTGCCATTTTCAAGTTTTATTTCTTTTCTTTTTTTTGTAGTTACAGGATGTTTCAGGTATTGTGCCAACCTCCAATCACATGGCAAGTACATGGGATCAGTATTTCCCAGTTTGGTTTTGGCATCCCGTTTTGGCGCCTGTGGAAAGCTTGAGTTTATGTTACCCGAGTGCCGTCTCTCTAAGGAAAACCCGCAAAGTGTTCAAGATTCTATGTGACCGAAAATATGATATCCTCATGGTGGCTGCAGATGCTGGCCAAAGCTTCGGGGATTTGACCACCAAATACCTGGGGCGGCTGCACAAAGAACATGGCACCATGATTGCTGTGTGTACCAAGCACTACGGCGAGATGACTGCTTCTGCTTATTCCTCCCACAAGGACGGGATTTCTCATATACACTTTGCATGTTTGGGTTGTTAAACATCAATCTTTTGGTTGTGAAATAGCGGTTCCCTCCACAACAGAGTCATAATGTAAGAAATCCTGATCACCATAGTGTAAAATTATTAACATTGGCACCCCTATTAATGAACTGGAGACCTGTTCATTAATTTCAAAGAATATATTGGCAACCCTGTAACACCGATAGGAGCTGAAGTTTGCCCTGGACTACGAGGAATTTGTGAAAGTCTTGCCGCTGAGGGTGGATGACACGTACCCGCCAGAGCCACCAGGTTGGTGTTTGTCAAAGCCTAGCTGCCTGAGTGTTGAATGAAACTTGTATTGCAATTCCAGGTCTAATAGAAGTGATGAAACCCATTACTACATGTTACAGTTTTTCTAGACAAGCATGAGCATCCCCAGAACCAGCGGATGAATCACTTTAGCTGCAGGGTTTGGGGAGTTGTTCAGGTGGGCCTGGTCACGCGTATGACAAAGGGTGCCGTGCTCAAGGATATATTCTGAGTGTCTTCAAGCCGAGCGTTGTGTTCCTGGAATGCCGGGAAAAATTGGAAATAGAAATTGCCGCACAAATTGCCAATGTCCTCCAAAGGCACAAAGTGGGCAAGGACGGCTCAAGTTGACATTCGCCAGGATCAACAATTGATCGCAGGTTCACTCTGGTTTACCTTTTGTTTTTTCTGAATCTCCAGAGGAGATAGAGGAGCATCGTTCACAATGGATCAAACATATACCGCGGCATGCAGCTTGCAGCGGGTCAAACTGCCTGCGCTGAACTGTCCATGCTTAGACACGTGATTTTGTACACGAGTGTAACCAAAAAAAGAATCATTTCAGTGGTTCTACATCATGCACAGTGTCTTTCCTATAGTTTGTTACCCAGCATCCTATCCCATGTTTGCCGCCGGTTTCAACTACGAAAGTTGTGGCAGAAATGCCAGGCAAAAAGCAATGTTGGAGATATTTGCCCTTGGTAGGGTTTGTTTTTGAAGGGCAGTCACATGATTGTCCGGACAATTTGGATATCTTCGGATGATAGTTTCCTCGCCTAGGTTTCGGGTGGATTCTGCCTGACATCAATCAACCACTGAAAGGCCTTGTCAGCCGCATTTCTGATGGTTCAAATTCCAGTTGAAAATTATAAAGGAACAACCAAATCAACCAAATTTGGCACAGAATTTGGTGCCCAGTAAGGACCTAATCCGGGCAAACAACTCTACCTGCGCTCATATCCCAGGTAACACGGCTCGCTTGGAGTTTAGCCTTATTCTGGAAGTGGGCGATCAAGAATTCCTTTCAGAGGTGCGGCAGGAAATTTGATGTTTACAGTAGATTTAGCAATAGATATTGATAGAACTATGTAACTATGCAGTTATTTTATTATGTATTATTGAAATTACATACACTCTGAGCACCCTCATCCTGTGATGAAAGTAATAAAATTATCCCGGGGGTAGTTAACAGAACCTGTAAATACATCAATATGCATAAAATAGACATCATCATGTGTCCTTTATCAATGCATGTTTGGTCCACAGCTCACCGTTCAACTCACCATTCCCTGATCGCATCCGATATTGGGATGATGCTCGAAGTCATCATAGAACTGATTCCATATAATAAGATCATATAAACTATACGGTTTTGTAACGATATATTCATTTTCAAACCATGTGTAGCTCAAGGCTAATCAAATTGGTTTAATTTTGACAACAAGGGTTTGCCCCTATTCCCATGGTTGATGATTATTTGCCTCATCAAGCTCCTATTTCATGTGCAGGGAATACTATCCATCTCCAGACTTACCCCCCTAAAACATATATGAAATTGTTACATATCCCGTTGAACTATATCCCAATTCTATCCTCATTATAGTTGGTAAATCCCCATAAATCCATGTAATTTGGCTGATCAACTCATTTCATTATTCCCGAAATTGGGTTCCAAAACATTTTTTCACCATTTTTTCCATATTTCTCTCCCTTCGCCATGGAAAAGCTCGCCCACAACGTCCGCCGTCAGGTGGTGAACCTCGACTTCCGTGCCCCTCAACGTGGTCACCTGCTACCCGACAGCTCCGGCGCCGTCAAGGGCTCCCGCGGTGCGGACGGCACCGCGGCCACGGTGAGGGTCAAGGAGTACGACCCACAGCGGCGCAGGGCGGTGAGTTAAGCAACAAGAAATCGTGGTACAATGGGGACGTTCACTAGGGGTATAGTCTGGGGGGTATAGTGGGGTGTATACTGGGGGATAAAATGGTGATATAAATGATATCAGCTATTATCAGGATACACTTGTATGAAGTATGCTTGATAGTATTTGGGTCACTTAACGGGCAACGCTTGGGATCGCGAAGCATCCATTTCTACTGGTCGCCTCAGTGCAGGCCATCTAGGAAACGGAGTTTTTAGTAGCTGGTTTATAAATGTTTTTAATGAGGATAGCTCCAAGGGTTAGCAACTGAGGATGGCGTCAATACATACTTGCAGGATCTTGGTTGATTTTTGATATGAATGAGCATCCATTTCTAGCCGATATTTGGTCTGAACACCTAGCACCAAGGCTTGATCCACTACTGCATGGTGTTTTATGCGACCAACAAATCTGTATTCACATCATTCGTATTGCAAACAATCCCGAAGCGTTGCTACTTGTGCGGATTTTCAGTGCAATGCATGGGCTCCTTGGTGGACGTTTCACTTTGCCATCTAAACCGGGGATGTGGCTTGCAAAATGATGAGGATTTTTAACTTTATAGCAACACCACAATGGATACATTACGTACACATGTACATGTATCTAGAACAGATGGAAACCCGGAAACTATTGTCTACAACATCCTGCACGAATTGCTCTCTTTTGTTGGGGACCCTTGTAAACCATCAAGATTGGAAATGTATATGCACACACTAGAGAGTGTCAATGACCGAAAACGGATTCTCAAGAGACCTATAGTACACCGAAAAATTAGCGATATTTGTAGCAACAGGAAAATATTTTTCCAATGCATCAAAACATTGCATGCCCATGACTTGGATATCTTGGACGAAGAATTGCGGAACTCATCCATTTTTTCCGCGGTGTAAATTACACCCTCATCACCATCGTCCACAGTTCAGGAGACGGAAGCTCGGACGGATCAGTTGATCCTGGTGAGTCGGATGGACAAACTCACTGCCAAAGCACCTCTGATGGTCCCGTGGCACAGCTTGGTGTCGGCCAGTCGCGCGTGTGAGGAGGACTTGGAGCCAGATGCAGTGCCGGAGGCAGTGCCGGAGGCCGATGGGGATGGCTTTGTGCTCATGGGATGGGGGTTGTTAAGCTTCAAACATGGAGGTTTTGGCAGGACAAAACTGGTGGTAAAATGTTGGATGTAATGGAGGCATCATGGGAAAATAGCGGGGTGAATTTGTTGGAACTATAACGACCATAGATGATGATTAGCATGGGTAACTATCGCGAAGTGTGCTTGTTTGAGGGTGATGAATCATTTGATATTCAGCTAGGGGGCATGGGGTCATTGAAAAAGGAACAGAGATACCAATGGATCCTCAATTTTTTGTATGAGGGAACCCTACCATCTATTCAATGATGTGATCCATTTAATAATCTGGTATTTCACTGGTAGTTGCCCCCAAAAAGATGATAGAAAAGTCAGCATCTACCAAAGTAGTGATAATTTTTATGTTCTATCTTTCTGGGGGTTACTATAAGATATGTCAAAAACCCATTCACTTGCGCTTAAACTACCCCCCAAAACTCATTCCCTTAAACTATCCCATTCAATGCATTTCAATGCCACATCCCTAGGTGGATTTCAACCTCTTTCATGATTTGCTGTGGCATCGTCGCCGTTTGTCGCAGCTGGGAAGCGGAATCTGGGCGGTGCTGGTACTACCTGTTTTGGCCTTGTTGCTTGGCTGAGGCGTTTTGAACGGAGGATTATCAGAGGTTTACAGTAGTTCTAATGAGACTTCATAGGGATTTAATGGGACTCAATTGGGATTTACAGGGTTGAAATCTGATTGAATAGTTTTTAGTGTGATTTAAACCACATTTAACGGGATTTAATGGACATATAAGGGAAGTTTATGATAAGATGTAATTCCCTTCAACTAAAGTGAAACACCCGCAAATTTAGGACAATAGCATGGGGACCGAAGCTTCCGCCAGATCCAGTGAGGATTTTCCATCCACAGGTTACATGCGGACATGCGTGGCATCAATAAAACGGACCACGGAGGAATTTTTGAGGATACAACGGCGGTTCTTGACCCAGAAACAGCGGTGGATTTCAGCAACGAAACGCTGGCAGTGGGAGCTTATGACACTCCTGCTTGCAGGCTCTTTGCGAACTGTGATTATGTTTGATTCAACATGCAAAACTGTTTGCTGGTTATCAATCTGACTGGTGTTTTGATTCATTTGTCATGGAATGATTTGCTAGCTGCATTTTTAGCCAGTAAGTGGATCATATACAATTAAGCGAACAACAAACATACCAAAACAACCCAACAGAACGATTTCCGTCACGAAACCACCGTTTTTTTTTAACCTTAAAAACACCAGCACAACTGCCCCCGCCCAGCCGTCCCACCATGTTTTCACCTTCTCGCGGACGTCAGGATGGTCTTCTGCTTTGGTGGCATCTCCACAGCCTACAAGCGATGAGCTATGCTTCTGGGCTCGCATTTAATGGGTCCAGTTTCGCATGGTTTGTTGATGTTTTTACAGATCTTTTAATATAGGAAGGAATGGAGGACAGAGTCTTGCCACCATCATTTTGCATGGTCCGTGTGCTTATTTGTCATTTTCGATAGAGGAAACAGTTAGGTGTAGAGTTTAGCCACCTCTCCATACGAGTTGTATCACCCAAATGGATCCAAATGGTCCTAAATGTTGACAACAGGTCATACCTGAACACTCCTGGATGGTATTGGGGTATGGTTCATTTTGGGGACGACAGAATTGGATGCTTTACTCGGACGAACCACTTCAACTTGAAGGTCGTATTATAGGTCTTAATGTTTGACCCGTTCCAGTCCTACTTGTATTTTGCCTTGTGCAATACGAGATGTCAGGGAGGTTCTACTTATTTTCCGACTTCCACAATTCTTGGACCAACTTGATTGTCGAGACTTGTAAGCTTGGCATTGTTGCTACTAACCAGGGCAGCAGTTCGATACCCCAGCCCACTATCATGCTGTGTACAAACAAATGGACTGCAAATGAGTTTCACTATCCTTCTATGTTCCGTTGTTTTCATATCTTATAGGTTATGTAGAACATGTAGATATACAGATACAATATACACATCACATTATATACATATATATATATATATACATGACTGTACATGTGTAATATCAGTTTATAGTGTGTACTAGTTTCCATGCAAATATAGGTAGATATAGACAGACAGAATAGGATTGGATTGGGTTAGAGTAGCGAAGGCAAGATAATTTAGATAGATATGTGTTGGCATGTATTGACACATCCATATAAAATTACTATATTTAGATAGTGCAGATGTGCATCAACTCTTCGGCCGTGGCTCTCCCAGCCATTGAACCGATGCAACCCAGGCATGTTCGCGAGGTGAATTGGCAGATCTCCAATTGGCCAGCTCGCTGCTGAGCATCGACTTCAGCCCCTGGCAGCAGAAATATGCGGTGCAGATGGACAGCCCTTGGGCCTTTGGGAAACCTGGGAACAGTGGTGGCACATGCTGAGCAAATGCTTACCCTGGGGTCAATTAACGTAGATGTGGAAAACCACTGGTTTCCGAGGAAAATGGTCTACAAATGGTGGGTCCTCCACAGCTATGTTAGTTTGGAGGAGGGCAACATTGAAAAATCAAGGCTAGAAAGTTTGACGTATGTTGCCACCATGTTGCCCCCCAGTGGATTGAAGACTGCCTTTGCCTCTAGTTGTTGGTATGTTTTTCTGGGGTCCAGTGTCTACTTCATTTATTTGATGTAAGTTATTGCTTATTACTCAATCATTGCTTGGAATCAACTCTCAGCTTCATACCTGTTCATGAGATTTTTCAATATACCTGAGCCTCCAAGCATCCATTGGGTTTGTTCCCCCAATCTTTTTGGTACATTGTAGCCAGTTCTACGGGTTGAGGGTCTAGGAGTCTAGGAGTCTAGGTCAAACTCGTTGCAGGACGTCTCCTTCAAACAGGCCATCCTGGTGGCCCTGCGGACGCTCCCTCCACCCGTGGGATCAGCTTCACCCAGCCAGGCGCTACGGCAGCAGGAGCCGAGGCAGTGGAGGACGACAAGGGCGCGGTGATCGCGGAGATTCTCAAGGCGACGGTGGTGGTGATGTGGGGGGCTGTTCGTGTTTGGAAATGAGTGGCCCAAAACTGATTCTGAAAGCTCCGTAGAAAACAGGATTGTTAAGTAGAGGTACTGACAGCGACATGAGCATGGCGTGGGTTCATTGGAGTTGTTTTTGTTATTCTGCTACGGAGTAGACATAGAAACGGTCTCAGGGCATAGACTGAACAATCTCTGGAGACATTCCAAATCTGTTTGTTCCATCATCAGTGGGTGGGAGGGCCTGTCGACTTCTCACATCTCGCTTCTTTACTAAAGTTAAATCATGTCCTCCTTCAAGAAGTCTTTGTTCCCCACATTGACGTGTGGGGTTTTTGTTTTTAGTTCTGTATCCGCTCCTCCTCCTCCTTCCTTCCCGTCCTCCCTCCCTCCCTCCCTCCATCACTCACTCTCACACTCACTCACTCTCACTCACTCTCACTCACACACACACGCACTCACTCTCACTCACTCACTCACTCACTCACACTCACTCACTCACACACTCACTCACTCTCACTCACTCACTCTCACTCGCTCACTCACTCACTCACACACACACTCACTCTCACTCACTCACTCACTCACACTCACTCACTCACTCTCTCACTCACTCACTCACTCACTCACTCACTCACTCACACACACACGTCACGGATGTACGCCCTGGCGTCCCTTGGGTCTCCGCCTCTTTTGCGTGGCAGGCGTGGGACAATGTGCACTGCCAAGGGGTCGGATGTACGCCCTGGCGTCCCTCGGGCTCCGCCTCTTTTGCGTGGCAGGCGTGGGCAATGTGCACTGCCAAGGGGTCGGATGTACGCCCTGGCGTCCCTGCTCGCCTCTTTTGCGTGGCAGGCGTGGCACAATGTGCACTGCCAAGGGGTCGGATGTACGCCCTGGCGTCCCTCGGGCTCCGCGTCTTTTGCGTGGCAGGCGTGGCACAATGTGCACTGCCAAGGGGTCGGATGTACGCCCTGGCGTCCCTCGGGCTCCGCCTCTTTTGCATGGCAGGCGTGGGGCAATGTGCACTGCCAAGGGGTCGGATGTACGCCCTGGCGTCCCTCGGGCTCCGCCTCTTTTGCGTGGCAGGCGTGGGACAATGTGCACTGCCAAAGGGGTCGGATGTACGCCCTGGCGTCCCTCGGGCTCCGCGTCTTTTGCGTGGCAGGCGTGGGACAATGTGCGCTGCCAAGGGGTCGGATGTACGCCCTGGCGTCCCTCGGGCTCCGCGTCTTTTGCGTGGCAGGCGTGGGACAATGTGCACTGCCAAGGGCTCGGATGTACGCCCTGGCGTCCCTCGGGCTCCGCCTCTTTTGCGTGGCAGGCGTGGGACAATGTGCACTGCCAAGGGGTCGGATGTACGCCCTGGCGTCCCTTGGGTCTCCGCCGCTTTTGCGTGGCAGGCGTGGCACAATGTGAGCAGCCAAGGGGTCGGATGTACGCCCTGGCGTCCCTTGGGTCTCCGCCTCTTTTGCGTGGCAGGCGTGGGACCATGTGCACTGCCAAGGGTTCGGATGTACGCCCTGGCGTCCCTTGGGTCTCCGCCGCTTTTGCGTGGCAGGCGTGGGACAATGTGCACTGCCAAGGGGTCGGATGTACGCCCTGGCGTCCCTGGCGCCTCTTTTGCGTGGCAGGCGTTGTGGCCTGTACGCCCTGGCGCCTCTCGTTTGCGTGGCAGGCGTGGGACAATGTGCATTGCCAAGGGGTCGGATGTACGCCCTGGCGTCCCTTGGGCTCCGCCTCTTTTGCGTGGCAGGCGTGGGACAATGTGCACTGCCAAGGGGTCGGATGTACGCTCTGGTTCGGATGTATGCTTTGGCGTCCCTTGGCACTCACTCACTCACTCACACTCCCTTACTCTCTCACTCTCACTCCTCACACTCACTCCGTCACTTACTCACTCACTCACTGACACTCTCAATCACACACATACACACAAAGATCGATGGATGGATGGATGGATAGATGGATAGATAGATAGCTCTCACACAACCACACTCACTCACTCACTCACTCACTCACTCACTCACTCACTCACTCACTCACTCACACACACACACCCACGCGCACACGTGCACACGCGCACACGCGCACACGCGCACGACAATGCATATGATGCAGATCCTGAAGAATGAAGTTGCCTGATGATCAAGGCGAGAAACGGTTTGATGTAAGAGTGCTGTTAAGTATCATCTAGTCATCGTATCTGAGCATTGTCCTCGACCACTGTGTGCCACATTGTAGCTCCACAAGCAAATCACAAATTCACATACATGTATCATTGTATGTAGATTGACTAGCCGTCGATCATGTATCACAGACAGAGAGAGAGAGATAGATAGATAGATAGACGAGATAGAGAGAGAGAGAGAGAAATAGATAGATGGATTGATTGATGGATGGATGCACGGATAGATAGACAGATAGATCGATCGATCAATAGATAGATAGATAGATGGATTGATAGATAGATAGATAGAGAGAGAGATAGGGAGAGAGAGAGAGAGACATAGATAGATGGATGGAGAGATAGAGACATAGATGGATGGATGCATAGACAGATAGATAGGTAGATAGATAAATAGATTGTTACATAGATGTTACATAGATAGATAAATAGATAGATAGACAGATAGAGACATAGATAGATTGACATACTTGGTTCACTCCATTCAGTTTCAGCTTTGCCGTCTCCCTGGCATGTTTTGACGTCGGCCTGGCATGTTTGATATACCGGCCTGTTTGACGTGTGTCAGACTGCTCGGTGTAGCTTGGCCTGTTTGCAACATGTTCGACGTGCACAGAATAGATAGATAGATTGTTACATAGATGTTACATAGATAGATAAAGATAGATAGATAGATAGATAGATAGATAGAGAGATAGATAGATTGACATATTTGGTTCACTCCATTCAGTTTCAGCTTTGCCGTCTCCCTGGCATGTTTTGACGTCGGCTTGGTATGTTTGATATACCGGCCTGTTTGACGTGTGTCAGACTGCTCGGTGTAGCTTGGCCTGTTTGCAACATGTTCGACGTGCACAGAATAGATAGATAGATAGATTGTTACATAGATGTTACATAGATAGATAAATAGATAGATAGATAGATAGAGAGATAGATAGATTGACATACTTGGTTCACTCCATTCAGTTTCAGCTTTGCCGTCGAACCTGGCATGTTTTGACGTCGGCCTGGCATGTTTGATATACATTGCGTACGCCATTCAGTGTCAGCTTTGCCACGGATAATCTGCTACTCTCATTCACTCTGCCGGTGCTTCCGATATCTTCAATCGGTTGCTCTCGTGTGCATGTCCGTGCAACTTCCGGTGTAGCAGATGTCTCCGCTTTGACTCGTCTTCTCGAATCGGATTGGATGTCCTGCGCTGACCGGTTTGTGGCCTTCAGGCGGCCTGTTTGACGTGCGTCAGACTGCGAAAAATAGCTTGGCCTGTTTGCAACATGTTTGACGTGCACAGAATAGAAACCAAAGTGCCTTGCCATAGCTTGGCCTGTTTGCAACATGTTTGACGTGCACAGAATAGATGGTTCCCCCACCTTGGCGGGGGGCAGGTCGGTTCGTCGCCTGACTCAGCACCTCCGTGAACAACTACTCCAAGGCAGGCTCTTGCCTCTGGGCTGCAGCTCCAGTTCCGGGAGTTTTGATGATGAGTGTTTTTTTTTAGAAATTTGCTTTCAACGGACTTGGAAGCCGGTTCCCAACGACACAAACACACACACTCAATCACCCACACACAAACACACACACTCAATCACTCACTCACTCACTCCCTCACTCCCTCCCTCCCTCCCTCCCTCACTCACCCTCTCACTCAGTTCGCTTCACTTCCATCATCATCATCATCATCATCATGTGCCAGCGATGTTTACCAGCCACAGGGCATGCAGAAAGAATTCACAAAATGTGCGGCTGCGCTCGAAAGAGTGCAGAACATTACTTTGGTCAGCGAAAGTATGGTGAGCGCACCATCGTTTTGATAGTGTGTCGGAAGGCTGGAAAGGCGAGGCCGTTTCGAATGTGTGTTAAACATGTATGGTGTTGAATATGTCAGGCACACCAACAGTTTGTTCCTCACATTGACGTGTGGGGTTTTTGCTCCCCACATTGACTTGACTTGGTGTAGGTTATTCAAATCACTTTTAAGTTATGCCTTGCCAAGCCCGTGTTTGGCTTAAGACTGGTGGGGGGGGGGGTGGTGCACGGCAAGGTGCTAAAATTTCAAAAATAGGTGCTCAAATTTAAGGAAATAGGTGTTTTTTTGGATCCAGTCGGGACCCAGTCGGGACCCAATCGGGCACCAATTTTTGCATTTTTGGGCACCGCTTTTGGCCAGTCGGGATCCAGTAGGGATCCAGTCGGGCACCAATTTTCGAATTTTTGGCACCACGTTTGGACCTGTCGGGAAGCAGCCAAAATCACCGAAAAACATGCAAAAACACTGCAAAAATGCTATTTTTTATGAATTTGGCTGCCTCCCGACATTGGTGCCCGACTGGATCCCGACTGGATCCCGACTGGATCCCGACTGGCCAAAAGCGGTGCCCAAAAATGCAAAAATTGGTGCCCGACTGGGTCCCGACGGGATCCTGACTGGATCTATAGATTGGCAAGAACCGACTCCCGCACCTATTTTTCCCTTCCCAGACCCACCCTTGCCCCTATTTTCCTTTTCCGCGCACCAGCCGTGCACCAATACCCCCCCCCTCCTGCACCAAAACGGTAAAAGCAGTCTTAAGCCAAACGGGGGTTCTACAAGTTATGCCATGCAGTTATGATGTTTCCGGTCTGTGCCGGGAACGGAAAAGAGAACGCAGACACTCACTCACTCACACACTCACACACTCACTCACTCACACTCACAACTCACACACACACACACTCACTCACTCACTCACTCACTCACTCACTCACTCACTCCATCACTCCACTCACTCCCTCCATCACTCCACTCACTCCACTCACTCCACTCACTCCACTCACTCCACTCACTCCACTCACTCCACTCACTCCACTCACTCCACTCACTCCACTCACTCCATCACTCCACTCACTCCACTCACTCCACTCACTCCACTCACTCCACTCACTCCACTCACTCCACTCACTCCACTCACTCCACTCACTCCACTCCACTCCACTCCACTCCACTCACTCACTCCACTCCACTCCACTCCACTCCACTCCACTCCACTCCACTCCACTCCACTCCACTCCACCTCACTCCACCTCACTCCACCTCACTCCACCTCACTCAACCTCACTCACTCACTCACTCACTCACTCACTCACTCACTCACGCACACACTCACACACTCACACACTCACACACGCACACACGCACACACGCACACACGCACACACGCACACACGCTCACTCGCTCGCTCGCTCCCTCGCTCACCCACTCACTCACTTCACTTCACTTCACTTCACTTCACTTCACTTCACTTCACTTCACTTCACTTCACTTCACTTCACTTCACTTCACTTCACTTCACTTCACTCACTTCACTCACTCTCACATCCCTCACTCACACACACCACACTGGCATCACTCACTCGCACTCTCACTCACTCACTGTACATGAACATACATACATACACACAAACTCACCCACCATCACCGCTCCATCACTCTTATACTTCCTCTTCCCTTCTTGCTCTTCTATGGTCAGTCTAAGTCTAAAGAAGTTGGTAACATGTGGGGTTATCCGGTCCTTTAATTTTTAACACAGCAACATTTTTTAAAATATAGGATCCAGAGATATCTAGAGTAAAACCCAATGGATTCCTACAAAATCCAAATATTTTCCATTTCCTCGGTTTTGTCCCATTTTTTCCCCAAGATCTCCCATGGCTTCGCCACGTCGTCGTGTCCATGCGCCGAGGCAACGGATCCCAGGCGTGGCCACGGCCGTCGCTGCCGGCCACGGAGCAGTTCATCCGCTTCTCGCCCTCGCCGCTTGGCGCTGGGAAGTTGAGGGTTGGAACCCTGCTGGGATCATGCTGAATCCTAATCGAGAAATTTCTGCAATGTGTAAGTACACATCAATAAATTTCATCAAGGTGTTCAAATTAATTTCTGAACCATTACATGAATCGAATCGAAAACTCAGCCGTCTCTTTCAAGCTTCGCCAGGAAGACGCTCCCAGCGCGGCTCAGCCTTTCGGGGCTTGGCTTCCAGAGAGTTCTGGCCTGGTCCACCCTGCCACGGAGTACCATCAGCTTCTTGGATGGTGGGCGCATTTGCCGCTGATATCATGGGAATGTTTTGAGAAGTAAGGGATGTAACATTAAAATCAGTGGGACATTGTTTTTGTTAATAAGCGGTGTCAAAAAAACACAGGGTGTGTGTTTGATTTGTGTAGTTGGTCTCTGGCCTATGGGTTTGCAATTGCAATGGGGGCCACGACCAATCTTGGTCTGTAGTCTTTTCTGACTCCTGAACAGAAACCGTCTTCCGTGCACACTTGACGTTGGGCTGGGCTGAAGTGCCTTGGTATCTTGTCCACTGTGCGCCTTTGTGAGGGTTGTTGGTTTCTCAGTAACTATCACCTTCCAGCGTTGGCCTTCACAATCATTCCTTGGTGAAACCCATTCAACAAAACATCCATCAGCATCAACCAAGGCTTGCCACCGGGACTGACGGACTTCAACCTCACCATCACATTGCACGATTTCTTCCTGGGTCTTCCAGTGTCGGCCTCTTCAGTGGTTGCAACTCGGAGCCATTTCCACCCTATGTTTATCCCATTTATCATTGATAGGAATATACTAGGGACTTACAACTTTCCATGGAGAAAGGGAACCATACAAGAAATATCAATAAATTGAAGTGGGCCCAAGCATTAACAAGGGATTTACTATGGATAAATGGGAACAAGGATAGAAGCAACCAGTGATGTTGTATACCCAAAGCCTATAACCATTCCCAATGACATGCCAGAAATGTGAAAGTGGGTGGGGCATCATGGGGATAGCGTATTACCTATATTTTCTGGGCACAGTTGCAAAAATCTGATATCCTTGGGGACTTTTGGGAATATTTCAGAAATTCATAGGAGCAACATCGAACATGGACCTGGATATGGCATCCAACAGATGAGGACTGGTGGATTTACCATGAGGATACCAGCCATAAATGGCGATAGAAACCACGAGGACCGCAAGCTCTGGACCGTCTTCGAGCCCTTGGCGGAAGCCAACGAGGCATCCTGTGCCGAGTTGCGAGGAGAACTTGGATTGTTTGACCTCCTTTCCAGGATATCATGGATGCTTCCCGGCAGCATGTTTGGATAGGTTTGGTTTGGGGATATGTTTATTTGCATTTTCAGTTTAGATGATGCAAAGGTCACCATTTTTGTGGTGACGAGATTGCATGCGGGAAACCATCATGGTACCATATGGTACCCCCAAGATCCAGGCTTTCAACAGATTTTTCAACCGTAGAATTTTCCCAACTCATCCAAGTTATTCTACATAAATCCTTGTATGTTTTGTTTGTGCCTTCGAAACATCCCGATTGGCCCCATGTCCAATCGAGAGCCCGTTGTTTGACCCAGGTTTTGAGGCTTGTAACAACCACAGCCACCACGAAGCAACTGCTGCCTCCAGTGGTATAGCCTTGGCGGCCGGGAATCGCACGCTGCGGGGGCAGCTGGCAGGGTGCAGGTGCGGCGTTGTCGCCGAAGGGCGGGGATGACAGGATGGGTATCACTAGTTTAATGGGATTTACCGGTCTTTCTTTTTTCGGGGAAGCTGTTTACGTAATTGTTTAGTCATGTGCAATTAATCATTGGTTGACCTCTGAGTTACTATACTAATGATTCATGATGTATCCGTATTCGGATTGATATATACTATAATTCAATTCTCGGAGTGTCTACCCGCTGGGACAAGTAGAGGGGGTATTTGGGATAGCTTTTTCTGTGTGCACGGCATCTGAGATTAACCACGCTTGGAGGACGGCAGATTTGGCCAGAGTTTCATCGATTTTGCCATATTTGTTTGCTCATCGGATCCACCATGTGGGTTAGTCCGAAATAGGGTACCCCAAAATCCGGTGGTTGCTATATAGTCATATTCCCAATTAAAGTATATAAAAGTAATTGTCTTATTTGGGCGTACACCCCATTTTCACACACATCCATGTCCTGCATGATACCCCCAACGCCTCCAACAGCATCGAATCGAGTTTTGCTTCCTGCACGGCACCGACGGTTGGTACGCTTTCTAGAGATCACGCTTCGGAGGGGCGGTGGTGAGGTTGATACCTGGGAAAATGATCTAGAAATTAAATAATGCTTTTTTACACCAAGCCATGCTTGATTACTGGAGGGTAGACACCGCACCAGACATATATATATATATATATATTGCACTTGATTCACAGCAACCCCCAAAAAAGGTAGGAAACAATATACTAAAATGATGATAGTTTACTGTTCTATCTTGTTTGGGGGTTACTATAATGAGCCTCTTAACCATTTACTAAATGGGGGCTCCAAGGGTCCAACGCTCCAATTAGAAGAACCATTGAGTGAACAATGGGCCGGCACAGAAATAGATATAGAATACCTGCATGTAGCCGCAGGCCACATAACTCATCATTCCCCCTGAGTTCAAGGCATCATTTGCTTCAGTCATTTTGGCATGATTGATCCAGATTGCTGCCAAACCAATGCCACGTAGAAGTCCAGTCGACCTAAGAAATCCACTATAGTTTTGACTAGTGCGACTTGGCCAGTGCACATTGGATGATTGCCCCTGTACACAGTCCACAATGTAAAAGTTGGCTAGTGAAAGTGCAACTTGTTAGTCATTGTTTCCGGATGATTTGCGGTTTCAATCCCAAAATTGTTTGTTTCCAGTTTGGGACAACATTAGCTTATTGAACTGGGTCCGGGAACATTTTCAGGAAAAGATGTTGTTCCTGGCAAGTATAAGCGGAACCCCTCCAGAAATGCTTAGACAATCTTAGACATGTATATATGAGGCACAGTAAGGGGACTGATCCAAATCGGATTGAACGCACTATAATTTCCGGTTTCAATCATACAAAACAAAGCCACTATACACACACATATACATATATATATATATATACATACATACATATATATATATATATATACATATATGTATATATATATATACATATATGTATATATATATACATATATATATATAATCTATACTGTATATATATATATGTATATATATATATATATAAATATCCCCATGAAGTCCCCATAATATCCCAATGATATCCCATGCCTGTGAGTTAATGTCTTGTTTTACCCCTCACAATCTAAGGTGATAATCTGATAATCTACCATGAAGCCAGTGGTAACCTATGAGTCATGGAGATTCGCTAGGGTATGTCCAATGCTTACCCTGGGCTAAACGTGTAATAAATAACATAGGCGTGGAACGTTTCCATGATTTTCCTGGGAAAAATGCGCGACAGCCATGGTGGGTTCTCGCACATCTATGGTCCATGTTAGAGAAAAGCTCCAGGATCCCGGCGCAGAATCACATCATCGACTTCGGTGTGGTGCGCCCCGACTGGCCCGGTGGCTTGGCTCCGAAAATTGGGTGAAACTATTGAAGTTTTCCCACAGGTTTCACACCTGGTGCGTGGAATGTTGACCTTCTGCAGGTTGCGGAAGTATGTTGAAGTCTCAACATTTGACATACCTTCCATGAAGCTGTAGGGATGGGTAGCTCAGCGGCTCAAGCCAGGGGCACCCCAATAGATGGATGGTGAGATCCAAAATCGTGTGCAATCGTTGAGAAACCCAGAAGCCAGTGATCGTGAGAAGAAGGAGGCTGCAGAAATTTTGGCAAACTTGGCAACGGATGACCAGAACAAGGCAGCCATCGCAGCTGCCGGTGGCATTCCTCCGCTGGTAGCACTGGTCACGAGTGGCAGCGATTCTGCGAAGGGTTGTGCTGCACGTGCTTTGAAAACCTTGGCAAAGAATGACCAGAACAAGGCAGCCATCGCAGCTGCGGGTGGCATTTCTCCGTTGGTAGCACTGGTCACAAGTGGCAGCGATTCTGCGAAGGAAAATGCTGCACGTGCTTTGGCAAACTTGGCATTGATTGACCAGAACAGGGCAGCCATCGCAGCTGCGGCTGGTATTCCTCCGCTGGTAGCACTGGTCACCCGTGGCAGCGATTCTGCCAAGGAAGAAGCTGCACGTGCTTTGGGAATCTTGGCGACGAATGACCAGAACAGGGCAGCCATCGCAGCTGCCGGTGGCATTCCTCCGCTGGTAGCACTGGTCACAAGTGGCAGCGACTCAGCGAAGAAAAATGCTGCACTTGCTTTGGGAAACTTGGCAAGGAATGACCAGAACAGGGCAGCCATCGCAGCTGCGGGTGGCATTCCTCCGCTGGTAGCACTGGTCACAAGTGGCAGCGATTCTGCCAAGGAATATGCTGCAGGTGCTTTGGGAAGCTTGGCATTGATTGACCAGAACATGGCAGGCATCGCAGCTGCCGGTGGCATTTCTCCGCTGGTAGCATTGGTCACAAGTGGCAGCGATTCTGCCAAGGAACATGCTGTATACGCTTTGGCACACTTCGCAATGAATGACCAGAACAAGGCAGCCATAGTAGCTGCTGGTGGCATTCCTCCGCTGGTAGCGCTGGTCACAAGTGGCAGCGTTTCTGCCAAGGAAAATGCTGCACGTGCTTTGGCAAACTTGGCATGGAATGACGACCAGAACCAGGCAGCCATTGCAGCTGCGGGTGGCATTCCTCCGCTGGTAGCACTGGTCACAAGTGGCAGCGATTCTGCCAAGGAACATGCTGTATACACTTTGGCACGCTTCGCAATGAAAGACCAGAACAAGGCAGCCATAGTAGCTGCTGGTGGCATTCCTCCGCTGGTAGCACTGGTCACAAGTGGCAGCGTTTCTGCCAAGGAAAATGCTGCACGTGCTTTGGCACTCTTCGCAATGAATGACCAGAACAAGGCAGCCATAGTAGCTGCTGGTGGCATTCCTCCGCTGGTAGCACTGGTCACAAGTGGCAGCGTCTCAGCGAAGAAAAATGCCGCATGTGCTTTGGCAAGCTTGGCAATGAATGACCAGAACAAGGCAGCCATCGTAGCTGCTGGTGGCATTCCTCCGCTGGTAGCACTGGTCACAAGTGGCAGCGATTCTGCCAAGGAACATGCTGTATACGCTTTGGCACTCTTCGCAATGAATGACCAGAACAAGGTAGCCATCGTTGCTGCTGGTGGCATTCCTCCGCTGCTAGCACTGGTCACAAGCGGCAGCGTTTCTGCCACGAAAAATGCTGCCAATGCTTTGGGAGAATTAGCAACGAATGACCAGAACAAGGCAGCCATCGTAGCTGCTGGTGGCATTCCTCCGCTGGTAGCACTGGTGACAAGTGGCAGCGATGCTGCCAAGGAACATGCTGTATACGCTTTGGCACACTTCGCAATGAATGACCAGAACAAGGCAGCCATCGCAGCTGCTGGTGGCATTCCTCCGCTGGTAGCACTGGTCACAAGTGGCAGCGACTCAGCGAAGAAAACTGCTGCATGTTCTTTGGCAAGCTTGGCAATGAATGACCAGAACGCGGCAGGCATCGTAGCTGCTGGTGGCATTCCTCCGCTGGTAGCACTGGTCACAAGTGGCAGCGATTCTGCCAAGGAACATGCTGTATACGCTTTGGCAAGCTTGGCAATGATTGACCAGAACATGGCAGCCATAGTAGCTGCTGGTGGCATTCCTCCGCTGGTAGCACTGGTCACAAGTGGCAGCGATTCTGCCAAGGAACATGGTGTATACGCTTTGGCACACTTCGCAAAGAATGACCAGAACAAGGCAGCCATAGTAGCTGCTGGTTGCATTCCTCCATTGGTAGCACTGGTCACAAGTGGCAGCGTTTCTGCCAAGGAAAATGCTGCACGTGCTTTGGGAAACTTGGCAATGAATGACCAGAACGAGGCAGCCATCGTGGCAGCCGGCGGAGTCCAAGCTCTTCAGGAGATGGCCAAAGATGGCGAGATGCTGGTGCACCGACAGGTGGCCAAGGAAGCTCTGAACAGTTTTTCCAAAAAGGACAGCAGCAAGCTTGGCCACGATCCGGCGACAAAGCCGAGCACTATTGTCTCCGCGGAGAAGCTTCGGGGTGAGATGAGGACGCTGGAAGCTGGAAATGAAGAGCTGAAGGCCAAAGCAGCCGAGCAGCTCGGAACTTGGGCAGCCGTTTCGGATGAGAACAGGGTCGCCATCAGCAGAGAAGGTGGAGCTGAGGCATTGGTGGCTTTGGTGGTGACTGGCAGCGATGATGCCAAATGGCATGCTGCCAGGGCCTTACGAAATCTCGCAAACAATTGTGAGGCCAAGGAGGTCATCCTGAAGGCCGGTGGGATTGCCACATTGGAGCCTGTAGTGAGGCACGGGAAAGGGAAGGTGAAAGAGGCTGCGGATGAGGCTTTGCGACTTCTGTCTCAAAAGCAGGAAACCAAGTCCATCCAGGCTACAGGACACGGAAGAATTGCAGAAGGAGGAACAGGAGACACAATTCCAACTGGGGAAGGCACTCGGGTGGCCATGTTTTCTGCCAGATTCGATGGAGGCCCAATTGAACAGATGCTCAGCTGGGGTGTGCCATTTTGAAGTTTGATTTCTTCTCTTTTGCAATTGTAGTTCCAGGATGTTTCAGGTATTATGTCAACCTCCAATCACATGGTATATACATGGGATCAGAATTCCCCAGTTTGGTTTTGGCATCCGTTTTGGTGCCTGTGAAAAGCTTGAGTTTATGTTGCCCGAGTGCCGTCTCTCTAAGGAAAATCCGCAAAGTGTTCCAGATTCTATGTGACCGAAAGTATGATATCCTCATGGTGGCTGCAGATGCTGGCCAAAGCTTCGGGGATTTGACCACCAAATACTTGGGGCGGCTGCACAAAGAAAATGGCACCATGATTGCTGTGTGTACCAAGCACTACGGCGAGATGACTGCTTCTGCTTATTCGTCCCACAAGGACAGGATTCCTTATATACACTTTGCATGTTTGGGTTCTTAAACATCCATCTTTTGGTTGTGAAATAGTGGTTGCCTCCACAACACAGTCATAATGTAAGAAATCCTGATCACCATCGTGTTAAATTATTAACATTGGCACCCCCATTAATGAACTGGAGACTTGCTCATTATTGTAAATAGAATATATTGGGAGCCCTGCAACACTGTAAGGAGCTGAAGTTTGCTCTGGATTACGAGAAGTTTGTGACAGTCTTGCCGCTGAGGGTGGATGACACGTACCCGCCAGAACCACCAGGTTGGTATTTGTCAAAGCCTAGCTGCCTGAGTGTTGAATGAAGCTTGTATTGCAACAACCAGGTTTAATAGAAGTGATGAAACCCAATACTACATGTTACAGTTTCTCTAGAAACGCATGAGCATCCCCACAACCAGCGGGTGAATCACTTTAGCTGCAGGGTTTGGGGGGTTGTTCAGGTGGGCCTGGTCACGCGTATGACAAAGAGCACCTTGCTCAAGGATATATTTTGAGTGTCTTCAAGCCGAGCGTTGTGTTCCTAGAATGCCGAGAAAAATCGGAAATAGAAATTGCCGCACAAATTGCCACTGCCCTCCAAAGGCACAAAGTGGGCAAGGACGGCTCAAGTTGACATTCGCAAGGATCAACCGTTTATCGCAGGTTCACTGTGGTTTACCTTTTGTTTTTTTCTGAATCTCCAGAGGAGATAGAGGAGCACCGTTCACAACGGAAAAAACATGTAGCGCTGCATGCAGCTTGCAGTGGGTCAAACTGCCTGCGCTGAACTGTCCATGCTTAGAGATCTCAATCTGGCTGGTGTTTCGATTCATTTGTTATGGAGTGATTTGCTAGCTGCATTTTCAGCCAGTAAGTGGATCATATACCATTAAGCGAACAACAAACATACCAAAACAACCCAACAGAACGATTTCCGTCACCAAACCACCGTTTTTTTTAACCTTAAAAACACCAGCACAGCTGCCCTCGCCCAGCCGTCCCACCATGTTTTCACCTTCTCGCGGACGTCAGGATGGTCTTCTGCTTTGTTGGCATCTCCAGCCTATAAGCGATGAGCTATGCTTCTGGGCTCGCATTTAATGGGTCCATTTTCTTTCTGATGCTTATGATGCTTTAGAGATGTTCATAGAAAACAGATGCAGGAACCCAGTTTTGCCAATACTATTGGCAGCAGAAATATATGGTGCAGATGGACAGCCCTTGGGAAACCTTGGAACAGTGGTGGCACATGCTGAGCAAATGCTTACCCTGGGGTAAACCAACGTAGATGTGGAACAAACCCTAGGAAAATTGACAAAAAATGTTAGGTTTTCCACACCTATGATAGTTTGGAGGAGAGTAACATTGAAAAATCAAGGCTAGAAAGTCTGGGTATGTTGCCCCATATTGCCCCCCAGTGGATTGCAGACTACCTTTGCCTCTAGTTCTTGGATGTTCTTGGTATGTTTTTGTTGGGTCCAGTGTCTACTTCCTTTATTTGATGTAAGTTATTGTTTATTGCTCAATTATTGCTTGGTATCAACTCAGTTTGACCTATTCATGAAATGTCTCAATACGTCTCAATATACCTGGAACCTCCGAGTATCCATCGGGTTTGTTCTCCCAATCTTTTTGGTACTTTGCACAAATCTTTATGATCTTTATGGGTTGAGGGTCCAGGTCAAACTCGCTTCAGGACGTATCCTTCAACCAGGGCGCTATGGCAGCAGCGGGAGTTGAGGCCGTGGAGGACGACAAGGGCGCGGTGATCGCGGAGATTCGCCTCTCGAGGCGACGGTGGTGGAACTGGCGGGCTGTTGTGGATGGAGAGTGGCCAACTGATTGTTAAAGCTCGGAAAGTAGAATTGTTGAGTACAGGTACTGACAGTGACATGAGGATGGCGTGGATTCATTGGGTTTTCATTTGTTTGCGCCATTGAGCTAAGGAGTAGAAACGGTACCAAGGCATACATTAGACAGTTTTCTGTCGACTTCTCAAATCTCGCTTCTTTACTGAAAGTTAGACCATTTACTGCTTCAAGAAGTTTGTGTTTTTAACACACCAACCGTTTTTTTTAAATAACTATAGGATCTATATAAAACCCAACGGATTCCTGCAAAATCCATATATGTTCCATTCCCATGTTTTTTCCCATGTTTTCCCCAACATCTCCCATGGCTTCGCCACGTCCTCGTGTCCATGCGCCGAGGCAACGGATCCCGCGCGTGGCCACGGCCGTCGCTGCGGGCCACGGAGCAGTTCATCCGCTTCTCGCCCTTGCCGCTTGGCGCTGGGAATTTGAGGTTGTAATCCTGTGGGATCATGCTGAATCATAGTCGAGTAATTACTCCAATATGTAAGTACACATCAATACATTTCATCAAGGTGTTCAAATTAATTTCTAAACCATTACATGAATCGAATCGAAACTCCGCCGTTTATTTCAAGCTTCGCCAGGAAGACGCTCCCAGCGCGGCTCAGCCTTTCGGGGCTTGGCTTCCAGAGAGTTCTGGCCTGGTCCACCCTGCCACGGAGTACCATCAGCTTCTTGGATGGTGGGCGCATTTGCCGCTGATATCATGAGAATGTTTTGAGAAGTAAGGGATGTAACATTAAAAACAGTGGGACATTGTTTTTGTTAATAAGTGGTGTCAAAAAAACACAGGGTGTGTGTTTGATTTGTGTAGTTGGTCTCTGGCCTATGGGTTTGCAACTGCAATGGGGGCCACGACCAATCTTGGTCTGTAGTCTTTTCTGACTCCTGAACAGAAACCGTCTTCCGTGCACACTTGACGTTGGGCTGGGCTGAAGTGCCTTGGTCTCTTGTCCACTGTGCGCCTTTGTGAGAGTTGTTGGTTTCTCAGTAACTATCACCTTCCAGCGTTGGCCTTCACAATCATTCCTTCGTGAAATCCATTCAACAAAACATCCATAAGGATCCTTTAACATAAAATTTTAAATATTATTTAAAATTAAAAAAATTAATTAAATTTAAAAAAATTAGATATTATTTAAATTTTAAATATTATTTAAATTAATTTTAAATATACATTTTAAATGTGTATTTAAAATTTAAATTTAAATATATTTAAATTTCATCAAACATTACATTTTCATGATCTCTCACTCATACAAAAATGTTAAAAATTATCTTTGAAAGTTGCTTTTTGAGGGTTTTGCGAGTTGAATTTTGAGAGCGTTAATTCTTGAGAGTCCGGGTTTTGAGACTTGAGTTTTGAGAGTGTTCATTCTTGAGAGTTGCGTTTTGAGGATTTTGAGAGTAGATTTTTGAGTGCAGAGTGTTCATTGAATATATTTATATGTTTACCGAATTGTCGAGATTCCGTTTGGTTATTGCTTGTCGATCATATATACGTCGAAAAACCATGTGCATGAAAATTTTGCGAGTGCATCGATCGATGCATGGCGTGTATAGATTTGGCTCAATATTGTGGATCGAAATCTGTTTGCCAGAAATCTCCAATGGCGTACGTGCTGAGCAGCAGTAAGTTTGAATCGTTGAAGGACGCTTTGCAGGAGATGTTCAAGCGACCCGTGCAAGATAGACAACTCATGCTGGAGTTGGAAGCGTTTGCGGGCGATCGCTGCTGTCTGAGTTGTATGATGGCATATTGTGACGGGCTTTTGACTGAGCCTGAAAAGGCCAAATTGGCTTTGATTTCCAAGGATTGTTCTTGCGACTTGCAAGCTGTTTCTGTAAAAAATATATTGCAATAGACCGGTGCGTGCAACATAGGAAAATGGTTGTCCACCATGCTAGTTTTTTTTTTGCCTGCCAAGAGTTGCGTGTAAGTTTGGAAAACTGCGCGTAGACCAATATGCATACATGCCCGCAGTTGCAGCTTTAGATTTTGAGAGTCAAGAGAATTTGAGAGACATGGTCAGATAGCTGCCATGAAGTCTGGAACGGTTCGTGCACGGTTGTCAGCAGAACCAGGCGCTACTGCAATTTCACTGTTTCGAAAAAGTTTATGAAAAACTGACTCGGCTGACTATAGGTGTTGGCGTTGCCGAGCTGCAAAAGGCTTTAGAGGATGGCATGTTGGTTTGTGGGAGAAATTTGCACGGTGACACCGGGATGCTGTCTCACAAAGTCGGTCATGTTACGTGGACGACCGGTGTTGCTGTGATAGAATCAATGATGATATCTTGGTGGAAACAGAGGAATCCGCCCACACCGCTTTGGCGGTGAAGGCGTGCTTATTGGGGGGAAACAGCTACACTAAATGCTCAATCACATTTGTTAATATAGCAGTCGCTATATCAGCTTTAGCTGGGGGGGGGCCAAAAACGGTTTCGCACCGAGACCGTTTTCGACATTTTTCGAGGATTTTTGGGTGTCTGAGCGCAAGAGGGTATTGAAATGGAATTTTGGGTCATTTTGGTAGTTTTCCGGCAATGGAAAAACGGCCAAAAATGAAAAAAAACATTGTACATTTGTACATAGCAATATTTTGCAGGGTTTTTGGATGCCAGAGCATTGAAAACACTGCAAAAACAAGTGTTTTGGACTGACGTTATAGCAAAAAACGTGCAAATTACATTAAATTACCGTATGTTTGACTGGAAACATTGCAAAAACACTGTCAAAAGCAATGTTTTGGAAGGATTTATTGCCTTTATGGCAAACACGTGTAAATTACCGCGTGTTTGACTGGAAACGTTGGAAAAACACTGTCAAAAACAATGTTTTGGGATTTCTTATATATATGTTGGAGTTGGCTACCGGCATTGGAACATGGAAAAATTGAAGAAAACACTCTAAATAGCGGTATTTTCAACGGTTTGGGGAGATAAGGCAATTGGAAGCATTGTCGAACATGATGTTTTCGACCGGTTTTATAGCGACAAAAGTGTAAATTACCGTGCTTTGAAGGAAACCATTGCAAAAACATGGAAACACATTCAAAGAACATGGGATTTGGGGGGCTATCTAGGCGTCGTTGTCTAGCCATTTGAAATTCCGCAGCTTGGAGAGCCCCCAAGGGAGGGAAAAGTGAAAATTCCATAGCTTGGGAAGCTGTCACGGTGGGGAAAAGTGAAAATTCCCTAGCTTGGGAAGCCCCCACGGGGGGGAAAAGTGACAATTCCCTAGCTTGGGGAGCCCCCACGAAGGGAAAGTGAAACTTCTTAGCTTGGGAAGCCCCCACGGGGGGGAAAAGTGACAATTCCCTAGCTTGGGGAGCCCCCACGAAGGGAAAGTGAAACTTCTTAGCTTGGGACGCCCCCACGGGGGGGAAAAGTGAAAATTCCCTCGCTTGGGAAGCCCCCACGGGGGGGAAAAGCGAAAATTCCCTAGCTTGGGAAGGTTTTGCGGGGGAATTCCCTCGCTTGGGAAAAAGTGAAAATTCGAACCGAAATGTGCGGTGTGGGCGGCCACCCCACGCGAAGCGGGGTGAATAATACAACAAAACCAGCGCGACAGTGTTCAAGTTTCATGAGTCAATTTTCAGTGAAAACCACAAGTCATACTATAACGAAACTGACCTTAAAGCATTGGATGAATGCAGAACCATTGTTCCTAATGGAAGGTTGTTAAAGGATGATAGCAAGGGCTATGAACTTGTCCTTGTCCCTGAAGATATGTGTAGCATCGACACACGGAAAGCCTACTCATACCAAGCAACAAAGATTACACACATTCCAGTGTTCAAAAATTTTGACGTATGGAAACCATACACCAAAAAATATGATTTTAACAAAGTCAACAACTACACCTTGTTCATAGTGAGGGCATGTCGGAGCAACATTTGTTTTCTACCAAAAAAATGTAATTTGGTGTATGGGAAGCACCTGAAGGAATTGATTAAGAGAGGGGTGGCAATGAAAAAACTATTTTGCAAAGTACCTTCATACATTCACAGAGTGAAGTATAAGAAAGTGGTTGACATTTTTTATAAAACAGTGATTAGCGATGACAAATTTGAGAATCAAACAGTCTTGAAAACTATTGCTAATGTAGCCTTTGGTTTGCTTGAGAAGTCTTACAAAAGAAAAATAAGATTTTTGATAATCCTAAGGAGGCAGTACGGCACCGGAAAAAATATGATGGGAGGATTTACGCAATGAACAAGGAAGAGTATGAAAAATATTTTAAATTTTAAATGGAGAGAATTGGAAGACGATTGGACTATGGAAGTTGATGAGAACAACAAACCCTTTTGTTAGACATGTGAATGGCGGTGCGTGTTTTACAGATTTCGATTATAACTTCGAGGATGGCAAAACCTACTACTGTGAAAATGATTCTTTCAACCAAAAGATAGAGAAAAAAAACGAGACAGCCAAATATTAATATAGTCAATGTCAGTGACCAAAGGCAGTTGATGAACGGATTTAGGTATATCAAAGACCTACTGTTACAAAATCACAACTTTCATATGCATGATGCATATGAAAATTTGAAGGAGGCCATCAATGTTTACGTTGTAAAGACTGATGCCTTTCACATAGCAAAGCGAGATTTAAAGAAAACTAAAAAATATATTGAATTTTCATAATGACATAGGAGGCTGAAGAGCGGAAGATAAGAAAGTTGTTCCTGTTCCCGAAGTCTATGGATGGAAACACAATGAGATTCCAAAAATACCGATTTACAAAAACGAAATGATTGAGGTTCATTATGACTGGGACACAGAAGCAATTAAACACACCAGCAATAAGGAAGAAGAGAGTCATGATTAGGGCAAAATTTGCAGGAAGTGGTAAGAATACACTTTTTGTTGTTCCTCAAAATATGCAAAAGCAAGATGTTCCATGCGATGCAGTCACCCAAAATAGATTATTCAGTGTTCCTGCGTGTAAGGGGGAAAGCAGGCTACCAAGGTATGATTACAACGATTATGATGTAATCTTTTTTGATGAAATCTACATGTCAAGTCCTTATATCTTGAAAAAGGTAAGAGTCTTCTGCAATGAAAACCCCACCTTCACCAACAACCCAAATGGAGAGGAGTATGTTGACAATTGCATGGACATAATTTTCAAATACAATATCTTTTTGCAGATATGCAAAAGAGTAGGAGGTAAAGATACAGAAGAGGAACAGGAATAGAAAAAAATGAAATCTACGGTGTTTTTTGGGAAACAGATTTGGATGAAATTTTATGATATAAGGAAATACGCTTAAAATATCTTAAAAGGATAATACTTTATAATAGTATACAGAGTAGAACATGCAAAAAGTGTAAGAAAAATAAAAAAGGGTGACGAGTTCAATGGAATGAATAGAATGTATATTGAATGCTTGGGCAAACAAAAGGCGAGTAACACAGTCTATTATAATCAAAAGGAAGAATTCTGCGACATTTGCCAGCGGAATGTGAAACAATGCAGGTTGTTCAAACATCTTAAAAACCGACAGGCATATCAACAAGGAAAAACTCAAAAAGGAAGAAGATAAAAAGCAAAAAAAGATGGAGGAATACTTAAAATATGATAAAACCAGAATTGCAAAATTGAAACAAATCTGGAAAACATTACACCAAAAAACTTTAAAAAATGTTTATCCCCATAATTTTTC